CTCTACACTGCGTCATAATCTGGGTCATACAGGGTCAAATGTGTCTTGAAAACTTCCTGGCGATAGGGAAATAAAACCACTGACGAAGTCAGCAAAGAATGACTACCACACACCTTCAGTATTCGGAGTTCTCGCCCACTTTGTGAGCTGTTGTAGGCGGAGCTCCCGATGCGAGCTTATTGTTCCAATTTAGAATTTTAAAACAATTGAGATAAAATTAGCCACAAAATTACCGCACTTCAGTTATCTCATTTGCCACACGATTATGCCTTTCAGTCACTAATTTTTCGCCCTAATTTGCAGCTGAAAATTTAATTATAATTTTGTACAATTTTTGCCCAAGAGATGCTTAAAGATTATACGATAGCGTGCGTTAAGTTATTTATGGCCTGCGTTATGCCTGGAGATCACCGATAGCGCTTGACTTATCGCATTATATCTTGAGACGTGTTCTTTGGTATGTTGTAATGAAAGATCCTTGAAGTAATAAGAGTATTTCAGTGAGCTTGTTAGCAATGTCGATAAACTACAGCGAACTTTTCTAAAGTGAACGCCTTTTTTTTACTGCGCAGCGAAAAAATCTTAGAATGTACATAGAATATTTTTATTTTTGTTGTTTATATTGATATTTTTCAAGTTGCTGCGGCGTAGTTTCGGTGTAGCTAAATTTGTCATCATTGAATTTGGTTGTTTTATCGTATTCCTGCTCTCATTATTGAATTTTTCATTTATTAAAACACAGCAGCGATTACACAGTTGTCGATTCCGTTTTTTAACTTTTATGGGCTTCAAAAATTCACAAACATGAAGAAAATCATCATATTTATATATTATATTTCACCTTCACGCAAAAAAATAAAAATGTTTAGTATACAAGACTTCCCTTCTCTGCGACAAAACATAGGCAAAGTAATCCCAGCAAACTGTGCTTTAGATACCAAGAAAACAAGAACACACTTACATTTTACTTAATATCAGTCTTTTATTCCATGTTTTTATATTACAAACTGAAGGCCTTGTGTTTCAATAGCAATGTTAATAAAGCTAGGAAATCTACGAAGCTACTTACACAATCGAAATTTTTTGTGGTTGTTCAAATGGAATTATCCTGCTTAATGTTACAGGCGGCAAAAAATATTTTAATCAAATTAAAAGACATCTTTTACTTAAAGTTAAAATGACATTTCGACAAAGCAGTGATATTCCACAACTAGTGTTTCAACCTGTACTTTCCAACATAGAAGTGCACTAACCCTTTTGGCAGCTCGAGTAAACATTGCTTGTTCATTATTACCGGCTAAGAAAAGTTTGGAGACATACTAAGACGTGGTTTTATCAATTAAATATCAAAATCCATCGAAAGAATCGAGCATGAGACATGCTTCTGAAGGTTTAAATCTTTCTCTTCTCGATCGTTCATCAATGGCGGTGGTCGTTATGAAGTTATCGCAAAGAAGGACAAGAAGATGCGGCAAAAGCTAACTAAATGAAAGTCTACACTCCCTTATGAATTTATGTTTTAAAACGTTGTTCTCGCTCAATTAATTTACAACAGTTTGTCGTGTTGAAATGCAGAAGGCACCACGCCGAGCTATCATGAAGAAACAACAAATTCCATCGTGAACATCTTGCGATTTGCGTCCATTGTCGGAAATTCCTTCATCAATCATGATCAATTCGGCACTGCATAAAAGGAGAACACGGTTGAAAGAAATAAGTTGAGCTCAAGAAGACATACTTCTAATTAAAATCACTTCATTCTCTGCTACTTCTGACAGGTAAAAACTTCAAAGTTTGTTTGTTTTCAATTGAAGTTGAGCTGTGAAACTCAAATATTGGTGCATTCCTTGCCTTCCTGCTACCTTCTGGTAGTTTCAGCTCGGGACAGAACTACCTGATACTTCGAAAATCTTCTGCGTGTTTATATCATACATTCTATACTACGGTAAATTCCATTTGTTCTTGTTATCAAAGTTATGTGGACTGTTGTGACAAATATTTTACCTTCGACAACATCTTCAGTGTCGAGTAATATTCTTGAAACAGTGCCGTTTCAAAGATTGACATGCTTGAACACTTATTTGATTCAAACTTACAAGAAGTTAAAACATATTTTGACCAAGTAAAAATATCCAAAAGTAGTTAAAACGTAAAAAAGCCAGGATTCCTAATCGTTTAACTCACTTTACAGAAAAGTGAAGACGTCTGACGAACTTATGTATTAGTGTTCCTTGTGAACTTTACTTTTGTGTTGGATCATTTGCTTGGTTTAAAATAAAACTATAAACTTGTACAACAGTTCTTTATTGATATCAAACATTGGAGAAAAACATTCAATAAGAAGACTGTTCATTGTAAAAGTAGACATGACTTAGCTGACAACAGCAACTGAACATGATGGAAAAGCTTCTTCCTCACTTGGTAAAATTCCAAATGTTAACAAACTTAATTCAATTTATCTTTGCGCTTATTCGTTTGGCAGTCTTAAAACGTCTCAAACAGAGAATCCAGCGCGACAAGGTGAGCTTTTTCTCTCGGTTCCAAGTTTCCCTGAGTTGAATAAGTTAATGTTCAAGTTGCAATCGTGTTAGTTCAGCATTATATTATATTCCGAGTGTTTTTTTTTTCTAGTTGAATCTTGCCAGAGATTTTGATTTAAATTTACTCTAGAAGTTGCACTTTTCTGTTTAGGGTTTTCGATACTGAATGCTGCATCTTGACCACATTAAATTACAAAGTGTGTGGACTTTTCGAAGTTTTATAATTGCGTGAGGGATTCTAAGCACAATGGCGTATTTGTTAGCAAAGTGTACCAATGCTTCATGTTTCAGAATTACTTTATACAATAAGGAGCTCCTCGATCAGAAATATATAGTTATCTAAGAATTAAGTGTTGAGACTGGAACAACTAGTTAGGATATCTTGTGTAACATCATAGAATGGTACAAAATTCTGTAATCTCAATTCTCATGCGTTGCAAACTAATGTTTTCTCAAACACAACCTATTCAACAACTAAATTACTTCATCTACACATACAACTTTTGATTTATTGCCCGGAAAGTGTAAACGATTAATCGTATTAAAAGATTTGTACAATTTAGTACAAGAAACGGCCTATTCTTGATATGGAATTTCAGTTTTGGACAAGCAGCTCTCAACAAGGTCTCAACACATCGTTAGCAAGAGAGAACTAGTTCTTTCTATGATCGTAATTTTCAGTGAATCGTCTTTCAGCATCAACAGTTTTATGAAATGAAACTAATGTCAATATAATCATTGAACTACCTATGGATTTGGACTAGAAAAGTGAAGTGCTTTTTGACCAATCTTCAAGACGAATTTTGGTTTATCGTGAGAGCAAATGGACTAAAATGTTTGGTGAAGACATTCTTGGCTCAAGAAAAGCTGTATTCTAGGCATTATTCTTCTTTAAAACAGTTAAAACTATGGTTTGTTTATCATTTGACTTTCAAAAAACAAATAAGTATGCAAACTACAAACGACTGTGAACACAATTCGAAATTTTTAAGTCGGCTTTTTTAGAGTGAAGTTATGATGTTGTTGTTGTTGTTGTTGTTTCTCTAAAGAATTTGAAAACATTTTCCCCGTGTTTTTCTATCGACAAAAGGCTTCTTTTTCATTACACAAAGCATATTTTAAAGAATTGAATTTCATCAGAAATGTTCACGCGAGCATTAGGGTTTTGGGAAACATCTCTACAAAGGTTTTGATCGTCCTTTGGCAGTAATTTAAGAGCCTAGCGACAAAGAAATGGTAAAAAGTTTCATAAATACAGCTATTGATGATATTTTCATGCATTTTGACTATCAATTCAAGACAAATCCCCTCACTGCAGGGTTCTATGGCGAATAATCTACAACTCAAGATGAACAGTTCATGCGCGAGTTTATTTTCAGAAATATATGGATCGCAATCTTACTTGACAGGATCCTGGATGGAAAAACATGATAAAGAAGCACATAGGAATTGTCGTGAAACGCGAAAGTTATAAGTGATCATTGTTTTTTAGAAGAACTCGGCTTGCCTTTGAAACCTCCTCGATGGCGTCTCTTCGTCGAACCTCGATGGGCGTTAACACTGCATTCCAACGTCTTCAAGCGTTGTTTTGGTAAGATTTACCCAAGGAGAAAGACATTTTCCAATGACTAGTGCTTCTTCAATGATTGTTTATCCTTTGGAAGACATTATCAAGACAATTCCGCGAACATAGACGTTTCTTTCTTCAACCTGCTTGTTAGCAAGATTTCATCGCTTGTTATGCTAACAATCGGTAGAGATAAGCGTCGGGTTTCAAACGCTATCAAATTCCAGTGCTCGTGATTGCACCACAAGTAAGCTATCAGCTAGACTTTGTTTTCTTTTCAAATAGCCACTAGAAGTTAAAACACTTTGCTTTTACTCACTCTAAAATCTATTAAAAGATCGTTAATCGCGCAGGAAGATCGCAGATTTGTCGGACATCAAAGGTCTTAGAACTCGATTTGTCTTTTTTATATCTTAAGGGAATGTAGATATGTTTTGGCTTGATGCTAATGATGACGTCGGATGGAGCCCCCGAGACTGGCATTTCAGACAATAGATTATAGAGTCAGATATTCGCAGGGAAATTCACTTTTTTATCAAATCTATTTCAAAGTAAAACTTTATGAGCGTCTTCAGGTCAATGGTACGAGCTTATCAGAAAGTGCCTTGGTATCGGCAGCCAATTGAAACAATTGTTATTGACAAGTTGTTTTCTTAAATGGAATAAATAGAACTTTTGGGACCATTTTAGAATTTTACTAATATTTAGTTAGAAAGACGTAGTAACACCTCCCAATTGTCGTCCATAACATTCTTTCTGTCAGTTACTTTAACTCCATTTGTTTGCTGATATAGGTTCCTCCCCTAAGTTGATCTCATTCTTTGTTTTTTTAGCATTTTACCAAATTCCTTTATGCCATGTCACTGTTTCAGCTACTTTTGTACGTCAACAGTGAACAGGAAGAGGAGACTTTTCTGTTTTTCAAAATTATTTCAGAGTCGACACATTGCTTGTCAAGACCTCTGTCGTCACTATGAAATAGGAGCTGCACGGGGCATCCCAGAAGCTGATGTCTGGGTTGAGCATTTTATTCTTTTCCGCGCTTTATCGGTGTTGTTCACATCGAGAGGTTTTCTCGATTTTCGATTTTCGCGCGAAGTATTATTGATCTGAAAGTATTGTAAACATCGATCAGTGCTGTCAGTGTTCAGACGGTGATTGTAGGTGGCTTTACGGAGTGGTACTGGCATTTCCTTTACCACGCAGAGGACTTGAAGAGTCACGAATTGAAATCGTCCCAAAGCTCGGATCAGATCTTTCCTTCCACGTCTGAAGTGCTTTTACCGGCGAAAACCTCTTTCCAAAAAAATGGAAAATCTGGTACTGGTTATTTTTCTTCTTGCTGTTGTGTTTCCAACCGATGCTAACAATGTCACTAATCCCAACGGTGAGTTTTTTTGTCATCTCTAACGAGATCTGATTGCGCTAAATAGCGACGATTTTCTAGAGATTTGTACCGGACGGTCCAACATGGAAACCATTAATTCACATAATCCTTGGTTCAGCTTTGATGAAAGTTGTCGTCTGGGTGAATTCATCTCTTCAAGATCAACTCAACATGTCACATGCTTTCGAACCGAAGAAGAATCGTTGGAGTGGCGATAATTTGGTGTCATCTACTTGATTGGTTTCTAAGTTTTTAGGTTCCATCGAATGCTGGGGTAAAAATAGTTCAACTTCTACAATTTACAGCCAAGAAAAGGCGGCGCATTCTGAAACAGATGATGTGCTCTGGTCGATTGTGAGCAATCATCGTTGTTTTGAAGATGTTTCGCCAAGATGGCTTCTTGATGAGTTTTTACCAAAACAGTTTTCGTTGGAGTCGTATTCCAATAACTTCGTTAACTACGTCTTAGGATTCAACATCCTTAAGTATAGTCGAAGCCTATTTTTTCAATTAGATCTAACCATTCGAAAATCATAAAGAATTGATCAACATAGGAGAAATTGGTTAAGTAAATATCTTGCCTGTTTCGCTTCGAACAGGGTAAACGAGTGCTCCTTCACTAGAAATTGTATGCAATTGTTGCTTTTTCTTATGTTTCACGCGACCAATGTACAAGGGCTGCAAGCCCATTGCCAGTTAACTAGTCTAACTCATTTAACAACGGCAAATTTGTCAACGTTTATTGAAATGTCTTTGAAAATTGCCCATGACTCACGAAGGACAGTCGTTATATTTACTACATCGCTGTGTAAAAAGCTGTTCTAATTGTTTTCTTAATCAAGAGTTGTTGGGCTGATTAGAGTAAAATAATTGCCCAATTATCACACAATCAATAGACATAGCTGGATAGTGCAGCTACGGACACTCCTAAATTGAGTCGCCATAAGAATTGGTTCTTATCAGCATAATCTTTGACGTTGTGTTAAGAATCGTTTGAAATGCTCTGAAACCTCGGACTAGTCGCAAAGATTTTCCCAAAGATTCTCAAAGAAACGCCTAAAATTTTCCTAACAATCAGGAAATACCGATAACAGCACAACCAGGAATTGAATGTGTATTTTGGTGTTTTAATCGGATGAGATGATGATTTCCATGTCGTGAGGATCTGGTTTGGGAAGGAACTATGGCGGTTTGATGTACTTGTGTAGTTTACTTGTGTGAAACCTCATTTCTAATTAACGCTCCTCTCTTCCACAGGCTCCCAGTCTTCACCAAAAAAGATCAAAATCAAATTAGGATTTATAGCGCCTCTGGATAGCAGTTTGGGAGCAACATCTACCTTAGGAAAAGAACTTGTAAGTAGCATAGATTCTTTTCGTTCTTATGCTGTGGTTAATTATAGAGATAACATCACTAATTTATATTAATGTACTTGATTTGAAGGAATCTGCCTTTAAAATAGCCATAGAAGTGGTAAACAAGCATGAAGCTAAGGGAAATGTGGAACTTTCTACTGATTTTACAAGTAGGGAAAACTAACTTAAACTATGTCTCATCTGGTGCTTCCTCAAGCTCTTTTTAGTCTATCCATGTAGAATAATCAGTCACTTGAACACATAAAAAGATCAGAAGTCTTAGAAAATAGTTCCTAACGTTAGAAAGTTCCCCTTCCAAATTTTTTCGATGGTATTTCGAAAAGCCGTTACATGTCCTATCCTGGAGCAGAAAAGATGAATAAGTCCGTACTTAAAAACCACTTAACCATTTTAAACAAGGATTTTATCCTATTCTTTTCACACAATGCACAACCTGGGAGACAATTAGGAACCGTCGCGTTTAATGTTTTCGCACTTTAATAAGTTCATGACCCAACAAAAGATCATAGCGTGTAAACATCATCCTACACGAACCTCTTAAAGGGGTTTTTCACACTTATTTTTTTTCTTGTTAGAACTGGTTAAAGATGGCGGGTCAGATCCTCCCACTACTTGCAAGATCGCAGCTCAACAACTTGCAGATGATCCAGAAATTGTTGGTGTTGTTGGTGGATACCGGTCCTCGTGTTCCATCGCTTCTCATCAGTATTTTAGAGATCATGGTAAGAATTATGCACACTGTAGTTTCTTTATTCCATTTTTTCTCAAACTTATTGATCTTATGAGTACAATTGTTATATTCAGTTCGTTATAAGATGCTTAATGTTTCTTAGTAGGATAATTTAAAACGAATGTGCATATTTTCAAAGATTACTTTAACTGGACAGGAAACTCTTAGGTGTAATTTTCCTTCATCAATCCCAATGTTGATTCGTTCGCTACCTTTGTGGGTTCCTCTGAGGGTAAACTAGTGGTTTGTTTGTGCCTGAAACCGCCTAATACAGTTTTCATTTCTCAGTTATGAGTCATCCAAAGCATAGCAATATGACACAAGTTCTCTTTGGAAAATGGAAAGCTTTTTCTTCACCTTTTTACATGTGTGATTGTTCTCTAATTTCTGGATTATTTTTAAGCTGATTCCATGACACAAATTTCTTATGGATCGACATCTCCCAAGCTTTCCAACAAGAAGATATTTCCAAAGTTCTTCAGGACGTGTGCAAGTGATGTTTATCAAGCGTCTGCCCTGGCAGACCTGGTGAACTATTTCAACTGGAAACGAGTAAGAACTTTCTCGAATGCTTTCCCAAGTATTTATTTCGTATGAATGAGTTCCGTCAGTGATTTTACTAAGATGCCTAACTATTTATGTACCAATGCTTTAAAAAACATCTTTTCATTTGAAAATATAAAGCTCAGTGTTTGAAAAATCATTTTATAAAGCGCATTTCCATGTTGTATGTTGTGCTTCACAAATAGGATTCGCCCACACGTGTTTTTCTTGTCCAAGAGGTTATTTTGGCACGCGAATGTGACCCTACATTTGTTTCATCGTGTAGCATGATGTAGCACTTTGCCACTTGCTGCTTAAGTTGTCAGTAACGCGCCCTTTCTTTCTCTAGGTTAGCACGATCACTTCCACAGATGTGTCTGCGAAGGATTTGACCGACAGATTCGAGAGTCAGGCCAAACTCAAAGGCATTAGGGTTCACACGTCGTCTCGGTTCTCAGCGGGAGCACAACCAGACACAATAGACCGAAAAGTGCAACTGGTAACTGACAATACTCAATGAAAACACTTTATTTGTTCGTGAATTGACATTTTTCTTTTACTAATCCATCGGTTTTAGTGGACGTCAATTAATGAATATCTTTGTAATGTTTTCAGATCAAAGACGCACATACTAGAGTGAATCTGGTTAGCGCACTTCCACAAAACGCGCAAACAGTCTTCCAGAAAGCAAAAGCCAAGGTATGTGTGTTTTACCCTTTATAAAACCACCTTCCAGTCCTAATATGGCTTTATTTGCAGGGCATGATGGGACAGGGCTGGGTTTGGATTGGAACTGACGGAGTGACGTCAACGCCTCTAAGCAACGCAACCAAGCCTGAAATTAAACAGAGTATGCAAGGAGCTATCGGCATTAGACCAAGCGGTAAATCTTTTTGTCATCATGTTCGAATTACACAAATTCCGGTATGAAAAAAGGTCTTCATTAAAAGTAAGATAATACTCTCATGTCTCAACCTTTGCTGTTCAAAAATGTGAAAAAATGGCAAAGGTTGAGAAATAAGGGGATTGTCTTTCGCCGCAATTCATTTAAGTGTGTAGCGATGAGTAGGGCACGCCTGAAGCCACACGCCAACCTTAAACCCCGGTCAAAAACGCCTCTATTACAATGGATCTAGAATAACTGACCTTAAACTTTAGTCCTATTGTTGTATCTCGAGTTGACATGAGTGTGTCAAGATGAATCCTGGATAATAACCTTACTTAAACCTGTTTCTTGTTTGACTTGATCCATTAAGAAGGAGAGGTTGGCTAGGCTCGGATATTGGCTTACCGATTCTTAAGTGCATAGGCAGGGTCTAGAATTTTGATTGACGTGAGCGCCTCCCCCTTAAGCCAGCTTTGTCGTAAAGTATTATTGATCATCGTTTTTGAACTTCTAGCGGGAAGCAAGCGTGCCTTTCTTCATATCATAGTGAAATGGATGGCAAAATTGAACAATAGGACACAGTATCCTGGCGTTATTTATGACACATTAAAAACCGACAAGGTAAAATATTTTGTGATACGTCTACTATAATTTTTGTTCTTTTGTGTTTTGGTTGTATTTGTATTGCCATTTCATTTGTATTATTTCACATGTATTATGAATCGCTCAATGGGTTGTATGCTTTGTAAATCATAAGCTATCTTCTCTTTCTTCCTTCTATTTTGATACTTTTTCTTTTCATATCTTCTATTTGTTATACTGATAACTGTTATTCCTTTGTGTTTCAGCCGTTACGAACTTCTGCCTATGTACCACATGTATATGATGCAGTCTACACGTATTTCCTCGCTTTTGACAGACTTGAAAAGGCAGGGAAAATCAAGGCAGTAAGTGTCCATTCTGTGTTTGATTAGAGAGGAATAAGTGAGGTTGTTTGCTACCGATTTATTCTTATGATAGCCAAGCTACAATTCAAGTGACAAGGTTTAATGAACTTTGATATCTTTTTAGGGTGATTCTCCAAGCAAACTTCGAAGACTTGTTTTTGAAGAGCTTAAACAGTTTACAAAACCTGAAAACAGTTACTTAAGTGCACAAGGTACGTCGTATTCTTTCTGTTGGAAAATAGCACTACAAAAGCACTACAAAATGGCTGCAATTACGAAGTGTACTTATTTAGGAAACCTTGATTTTTTGTACTGATTGACTTTTAATGACAATTCTGTACTTTTTTCCAGGATTTTATACTCACTTTGATAAGAACTTCGATGGTCAACCAGCATACGATGTTGTCAATCTTCAGGTAAACTCTTTGTTCTTGCACTGATTCCATTGGATCCTTATTAAGATATTTGAGTTCTTCTTTTCTCATCTTTTGCTTCTTCTCAATCTTCTTCTTCTTCTTCTTTTTAATTGTTCTTCTTCTCCTTGTTGATTTTCATGTGGTAACATTTTCAATCGATGTGTTGTATATCACAGGGTATTGTATGGAAGCGCGTTGCAACCTGGAACAAAACTATGGGAATCGAACGCCTCAACCATCCAATCATTTGGCCAGGAAATACCAAGATACCCCCTACAGACAAAGGCCTTCCTGGAAAGACTACCTTCAGGATTGGATTCATTGCACCAACAGATCCTAACCTGGCCGGTCTTGCACAACTTGGCAAAGAGCTTCAAATGGCGCTAAATGTTGCTGTGGACATGATGAACAAAGACTTGTCGTTGTCTGTCGATTTTGATGTCAAGGTACAAGAAGTTGGAACAGATGCAGCGAGTGACTGCAAGACTGCTGCTGATAGACTTGCCAAGGACGACGTCGTGGCTGTGATTGGTGCTTACAGGTCGGAATGCTCTGCTGCAGCTGCGAAAGTGTTGGGTAAGGCCAATATTATAAAACAGTGATGTGCAAATATTCGATCGATTATCATTTGGAAATTATTTGATAGTCATGACCAATCAATAATGAATCTTAACCTTCCACAAATCCAGGTTCAAGCAGCCACAAAGTCCCACAAATATCCTATGGATCCACCTCACCACGCTTATCTGACAAGACGAAATATAAGTATTTCTTCAGAACAAGTGCCTCAGATGTTCACCAGGCCCGCGCAATCTCAGCTTTTTTCCGCACATACCGCTGGCCGGAAGTTGGCATCGTCTCCACTTCGGATTCCTATGGTGGAGATCTTGCCAGTGACTTTAAGAAAGAAGTCGAAGGAATGTCTGATATGCCTGTTCGAGTGGTTTCCATACAGAAGTTTCCAGTTAATGGTCGAGCGAACGTTGTGAGACCCAAGGTTGATAAGGTATTGAATAATGTATGGACAGTTATCGGTAGTGTTGTTATTCTAAATATTCTTGTTTACTATCTTGTCTAGTTAAAAAGTGCAGGCACCAAAGTCAACCTCATTTCCATGGTACGCAACGACGCCGAAACTGTCTTCCAGCAAATCCGAGAGCTAGGCATGACGGGTAAGGGCTGGGTGTGGCTAGCTAGTGATGGAGCTACCACATCGACTTTTGATAAACAAAAAGATCTGGAGACAGCCATGCAAGGGATGCTGGGAATTCAGCCAAAGAAAGGAGAAGGACCACTGTTTTTGAGATTTCTTGCTGCTTGGATGGATAATGGCCAGCCTTTGTATACTGGCACGGTAAGACAACTTTATCATCAAGCTTTCGAGCAAGTTGCTTATCATAATGACTAAGTTATAAAACATAAGCTTATTACGTACCTTATAGTACATTTAACAAAATAAGACTTTTTCATTGGTCGAGAGGAGTCCAATTGCAGAGTTAATTGTACTCCTTATCAAATTTTGTTTCACTGAATGTACTAAAAGAAAAAAATCGCACAACCTCTCGTGCAATTTGGAATTAATAGTCACTAGTAATGTTTCGAAAGTTATTCATAATTGCACGAGCCCAGGTCGTGCTATTTCTTATACTAATACATGTGGTACCAAATATCGAACTCGTTAAGCCCACAGCTTAAGGTTATTCTTGCTTCAAGAAGTAAATATTGACCATCCAAAGCGGCTTATCGTTTTATGGTATATTTTCTTAGAATCAAAGTCCCTCATCTTCCCCATTTATGGCCCAGTTATTCGATGCGGTCCACGGCGTTGCTTTAGCTCTATCAGACCTCGTAAACAAGAAGCAAATTAGTCGGTCTACAAATGTTATGAAAGTCCGCGAAAAACTCTACAAAAAGCTGAAAACGTTCGACGACCCAAGCTCTGGTTATCCTAGTGCTACTGGCAAGAAAAATATCATGTATTTTGATCAACGACTGGATGGTCCTCCTCGTTATGATGTTGTGAATTTACAGGTTAGTTCGAGCACTTTTAAGTAAAATTTAATTTTTTTTAATGAAAATTGCAACTTAGCTTAGGCGAATAATGAATTTAATTGTTATTATGTCTAACTGTAATTGCATGTTTTACAGGACAGCGGTTGGATAACTGTTGGACACTACGATGAGAAAACCCAAGATATACGTATTTCACGAGATCCTATATTCCCTGGAGGAACCACTATTCCCGTGGTCGGAGTAGGTCGACCAACTTACAAAATTGCTGCCTTTTTCCCTCTACATAACGACCTTGGCTCACTGGCAGAGCTAGGGAGAGAATGGGAAGCGGCGTTTAAACTGTCTGTTGGCCTTGCAAACGCTGATCCATCATTCAAAGTAGCTTTTAGTTACATAATAGTGGATGGTGGACCGAACGTAGACTCATGTTTCAAGGCTGCAAAGGTAAAAACTTATATAATGCTTCATGTTTATATTTTTATGTAATTTTGGTTTTAATAAAAACTGAATATATATCAATATTAATATCTGATTTCAAAATGTATAGAATCTTCCGGATGACATCGACCTCATCATAGGCGAAGCCAGATCCGCTTGCTCTATCGCTATTTCTAAGGCTACACGATCACGTAAGATACCACAGATGTCCTACGCCTCGACGTCATCACAGCTATCCGACAAACAAGCATATCCTCACTTCTTCCGCACATGCTCAGCGGACAACCACCAAGCTACAGCTCTTGCCAAGCTTGTGATACGTTATGGCCTGGAACGAGTTGGTACGATAGCGACCACCGACAATTATGCTGATGATTTAGTGAGGAAATTCGCTTTGGACGTGCGTAGAACTGGACGCGTTGAAATTACTGCTGAAGAACGGTTTAATTTGCACACGAAACATGCTGTCAAAGAAGAAGTGACCTCGGTAAGTATTAGGATATTGAAAACATTTATGGAATTCCTCTTTCTCATACAATTCTTGTATTTTTGTAGCTAAAGCAGAGCGGAGCTGTTGTTAACCTGATAAGTTCAACCACAGACGATGCTGAAAAGGTTTTCCAGGAAGCCATCGAGCAGGGTATGACGGGTAAAGGCTGGGCATGGCTCGGTACTGATGGATCTACGTCATCGACATTTATAAATGCTCCTAATCTAAGACTTGCAATGCAAGGTATGGTAGGCACCAGGCCTAGAGCAGGTAGCGGTCAGCTTTATCAAAAACTTCTTAATATCTGGGACGAGAAAGATTCAAGTTTATATCCTGGACTGTTGCATTCTTCAAGGATAAAAGAGGTAAATTACTAACATATGCAACTCGATACTATGGCGTAAAATTGTACAATTCGTGCTTCTCAAAAACTATCAAAACTCTTCTTCTAAAAGATCCTCATTTATATTAATCTTTTGTTTAGACATCGGTGTACGTTGCCCAAGTACAAGATACCATACTTGCCTATGCTAACGCTTTAACGAGTCTACATGAAGCAAAGACCATCAACAAGGTAAAGGTCTCAATAAAATTATCTGCCATCCTCAGTGAAGCGAGTAAAGAGTAATATTTGAATAAGTTATATGAGAAAAAGATAGAATAGCCAACCTACTGTAGGAGGTCACTAGTTTGCGTTAAGTGGTGCCAAATATTGGCTTCCTCTCATTCCGAGTTTATCCACAATTTCAATGTTTAAACATGTGTACGATATCTTTCAGCTAACTCCACGACCAACAATGCAACGCGAGCTCGTAGAAGAGCTCAAGAAAATGAAAGATACCCAAACCGGTTTTACCAGTTCTGTAGGGGACAAGATATTTTTCGACTCAAATCAAGATGGCCCTGCCGAGTACGACTTGGTGAATCTAAACGGCAATTCCTGGGTTCGAGTAGGGAGGTATTCGCCTTCTAAGGGGCTTAGCGTACGACGGAAGATAGTATGGCCTGGTGGTATTCTTACACCTCCCTCTACACCAAATAAAGAGTAAGTGTATGGTCTATAAATGTACGATATGGACATGTATGGAGTGCGAACATTGAATGATATATAGCCGCCATTTTGAATCTTTGCACTTTTTTTAGTTATTAACTTTTCTTTTAATGTAATTTCATGATGAGTTACACGAGCTAACCCCTGCTTATTTCTACAGTCCGACCAAAACATCACAATCGGCCCAGACCTCATCAGTTAGTACATCAGGCTTGGTTGCATTAGGCGTTATCTTTGGTATCTTTGCCATTGCAATGATTGGATTCATTGGGTTTTTAATACACAGAGAACGAAAAGGATACCCAACATTTGCCTCAAATGTAAGGATTTCTGCTTGTTTGTTATACTTCTTTCTTCATTTTTACTACTTTTATTACCAATTTTTTTGTTTCCCTCTACTTTCTCTTATCCCTTCCTTTCATTTACGTGGATATTTTATCCCATTTTCCAGGTATTTACTCGAACTAACGGATCACCGGTYAATGAAATCAGTGTAGCAATAGATGGTGCTGCTTCAGCGTGTAATGGTGGTGTGATCACAAAATCAGAAAAATCTCAAGTACTTGTTTGACAATCAAAGGTAAAATCAATCGTTTCTTTTAGCAAAAGTTGATGTAGTAATGTAGCATATTTTATCTATGCTAGCACAATTTCATTCATTAGAATAGCAGGCGCTCAAGTAAAAATACGACTAAAAGATATTTCACTTTTATTTACAGAAATTGCCAATGAGACAAAGGCGTAATAAACGATCTAAAAAGATCCGACGCTAGTCGAGCCCTATTTATTGCTGTGCGAAGAGAAGGTCTGCCAGTACTTGGCTGTACATTTGTATTTATACTTGGCACGTTAAACAAGAAAACTGTACAGCGCCGCCTTCTTTAGTTCACAGCGTGACCGCGATGCATTACTGGGTAATTTACCCCCATCATGCTTTGTACAATTAGATTCGAGGCCTGCATTAATCTTTTTTTTTGTAGAATTTTTTTCTTTTCTTTGTAAACTGATGGGTTTAGGGGGTGGTTGCAATTCTTACGTAGATTAGAAAGAAAAAGAGCTTCGTTATGACATTCTTAGAATATATTAGGGAGGGGAGGGATGTGTTTAGATTTGCTATCGTTCGTTTTCTTTTTGCCATTACGGAATGTTCCTGTATTATTATAACTGAATGCAAGTATATATCTATTTCTTTAAARCGTCTTTCTTCTAATTCATGACATGCTTAATCCTTATCAAAAATACTGAAAGAACAAAACCATTTCAGTCCGCCATGTTGAATGAAAAACTAGAAAATGAACGAATTGTATGAATTTCAATTTCATGTTCATAAAATGTTTTCGATTGCAGTATGTCATTTATAAATGAAAGAATGGCCGTTTTAAATTACCTAAAGACAAATATATATATTTTTAACAGAACTGGAAATATTTTCGATATAACTTTTTACTTAACAAAAATCTATATGTTTTACATGTTTGGTTTCTAGTTTTTTGGAATGTGTTWCGCTGGTTTTGCCAAAAGATTTTATAAATTAGAATAATTATAAGAAATGTCAAAACTRATAGTTTGTAGAAAATTTGTAAATAAGTAAAATAGTTTTTTACGAATAAAATTATAAGATGTTGAAATCAGTCTGGTTTGATGTTATTATCCCGGATCAATATGTTTTACAATCACATTTCTTTGCCATTCATTTTTTCTGWCCAATACTGAAATTTGATTTTATGTTTAGGAATCGCTATTCTTCGTTTTCAGGCTACGTCACAGCGGCCATCTTGGAGGATTTCTCATTGTTATCTATTGTTCATTCCTCCAACATGGCCGCCGGTCTTTTATCTTTTGAATCTCATGGGAATGGGTGAAAACGATCAATATTTCTCCTTTACTGGCAATTCAAATTGGTAGTTACTGCCAACTAAGCCGTTTATTATCTAAAACATAAAGTGTTTTTCATAAGCAGGTGAAATAGATATTTACACTAATGCACTTCAGAAATCTTACTTCATTGTTTTCTTTTGTGTCTACTGGACTATTAAGCGCCCACTATATGAGATTTTGTATCGCGGGGTTAAGACTGATCATAAGGTCGTGAAATTCAATTTAGCGTACTATACTTTATAACTCTTTACTGCGTACGTTTTTCTTTGACTTTTGTCGGTGTTTTCCATTTTGTTTTGCTTCAAAGAAAATTTGTTTCACGGGTATTTTAAAAGCACTCTATTTTTCATTCTAACAATACTTTGAAACCATATATTCAGTTGATATATCTAACTTCAAGCTTCCCGCCTCCTCTTCGCATGAAACAATAAAAATTGGAGAATAGTTAATATTAACTATTGGAGGGTATATTGTCATTTTAATAAACTCGATTTCTCGATTTAAATCTATGGATATCCTTATGTCCTCAAAGCTGCTTTGCCACGCTAGTGGAACAAACAATGCCACCAAACTCACTAAGTCATTAAATTTATATTGTTGTGTCAGCGTAAAACACGCGGAGTATGTTTTTTGTTTAAAATAAACCCAATTGTTGTCCGTCGTTCAGTCACACGTTATAATYAATATGTCGGAGAAAACGTTGTGAATTTAAGTTATTAATCACGCCTTTAGTTGTTCCCTGTCGGATGTCTTTGTTGAATTATGTCATTTTACTGTTCGTCCATTCGCCTCAATTTCGTCTGTACGATCTCATTCGTTTGACGCGAGCCCATTTGAACAGCGCGCAAATGGCTCTAGACATTAATGGCTCCACAGTCTATTTAGGATGAAGTGATCGCTTGGTCCACAAAACTATTTTCTTACGCACCTGCATGTATTTAATAGGACTGGTGCCATAAAATAAGACGACTTTTTCAGRCAAAATTGCTTTAAAACTGTTGAAAATACGTAATGAATCTGATCCAGGAACCAACGTAGTCTACCGGCCATCATTTTCGCGTCGTGTAAAGCTGATTACTTTTACACCAACGTAACGTTTAAGCCTTCTTAAATTTCACTGTAGATTATTAACGTATTACTTCCTTGAGAAACAGTTGATTTTTAAAATAATTTACATAGTTTTTTTGATATTTGAACGGGAGTCTCGCTAATGGTCTTCTGGGCGTCCTCTCCCTGGAAGACCAGTTCTGGCTTCAAAGCTTGAAGTGAGTTCGGGCATTAATACTAATCGTGTAAACTCAATTTTTTTCTTGTAAATAAAAAATAATGTGCTGCGTCTTTTATTCGAGTTTTTTTCAGTTTTTTGTTGCTTTTATGACTAAACTCGGAAAGACATTGGGCTACCTGTGTTTTTAGGAGTATTGTTCGCCACAAATGGCGTTTCTAAACAATCATGCGTTTAAATAATACATATCCCAAATCAAAATGTTTTTAATGAACTAACACAAGCTTGGCAAAACTATGGGAAAAAATTTGCATAAAAATGGCGCGAAGGTGCGGACGCGTCAACATCYCAAYAAAAATGGCGGGAAAACGCGCAGAGARYAAGGCAAACATAAKAGTGCTTTTGTAAGAAATGAGTCTCGCGTGTCTCTTGTGTCACAAAAGCTATAAAATTATCGCCAACTTATACTATGAATTTCAAGAAGTCCCTTTCAAGATGTGTGTCTCTGAGGTATTAGTTATTGAGTTATCCTATAAATTTCTTCAAAACTATTGCCTAAGAACCGACAGAACTTTGACTGTCGTTTAAACTTATTGTCTATTTGTTTACTAAATTAAAGATATCTCAAAGAGTTRGATAATTGTGGGTTCATATACATCGAACAGCTCACTTAAAGGGAGATTTATCGTYCACTTAAGCTTAGAGCTATTAAGAGTGCGAATACTTAAAGTGGTTTTGAGTGGTATTGCTAGAGATTTTAGATCAAGTTGATTTGATTTTCGCAAAAGGGCAATTTACTCGTGAACAAATTATAGTTCAAACACGTGCTTTTAAGTGAAAATCGTAAATGGTAAGCCCCCGTCTTCCAATAGCACAACTATCTAAATCTCAATCTAAAGATTATAAGCAGTGTTAAACTTTTTATGATTACTCGATGTRAACCGAAAGTCAAGTAAATCCAATCGGTTAAGAGTTTAGATTCMAATTGTAATTACTGGTTGACATTAGATTACGACGTAATATAAAGTCATGAATAACGATTTCTAAGAAAATAGATTTGTTCAGTTTATTGGATCAGAAATATTATGACATAATTTTATTCAAAGTCAACTGACRTTCATAAACGTTTTTCGACTGTTTTTGTCTGGAGTAATTTAAAGATGGTCGTTTCCAACCGTCCATTTACTTAGAGCTGCCAGACCCCGCAAAGGATGTTTGTCAAGTAGACTTATCTGCAATCATACTCTCTAGTAATTACTTAGACATACGATTTCAATTCCGGTGATACGGAAATTACAAGGGTGTTTTATTGTCCAAGTTTTGGATAAAAAGCGCGTCGACCAAGGTAACAGGCATTTCAGAATTATATTTCCAAGGAGTCAGTCACAACACTTCACCTCAAGCACTATGAATACCAAAGCAGTTTTTTTCCTAGTTTGTGTTGTATTGATGGCCTTTGTGACGGCACAAGGAGCACACGCTTTTACGGCTGGTGGCGGTGGAAATATACCAGGAGCGGGAAAACGAGAATATATGGTGGTAAGTATTRTGCACTTTGTTGGCTTTTTGGGTTGGACATTGAAATGGTTTCGCATTGTAGTGGCTTCTTTATAGTTTTTTTTTTTGTTACATTGTGATGGCTTTACGGCACTTTAATGGCTTTCGCGTATAGTTGTGTTTTCTTTGTAATATTGGCTTGACTATGTCGTTATAGAGATTCAGGGAGTTGTAATGCATGCCTTTTACATTTTTTTGAGAAATTTAAGTTAACTTCTTCAAAGTATAGTTTAAAATCAATTACCGATGCATTGATTTTTAATTTTCTTGAACTATCTTCATCATTAATAGTTATTGCCTATTTTAGCAGTTTGAGTGATTTAAAAATTATTATTTCATCACGAGCACTATATTGGCTTTTTTCAATAAAATCATTTGATCTTTTCMTGAATCGATCATTTTTCAAAGACAACTGGAAATTACGTTGTCATTACATTATTTACTCTAGTAACTTTATTAAACATTTTTTTGCTATGTAAAGTGTTGTCAGTTAATCATATGTCGTCTTGTTAGTTCTATGGATGGCTTCAGTGATAGAATTTATGATCAAATTAAACGACTAGGTTCGTAACATGTCTAACATAACTTCGTCTTTATATTCTCTTCCCCAGTAGAGGGAAGAACCGCGCATCATTAAGGTTAGGTCTTATAAACCGAGCGCGCGGTATATATAGAAAAATCTAGACCATRGTCTAGAGGTACATAATATGTACAAAATGTACAACAGGCTTACTCCTCATTTTTYACTTCTGTTCCAAAACGAGAAGCATTCCTTTTAACAAAAAACCTTTTGGTTACCGKTTTTTCTAATAATTAACGTAAATTACACGTGTTTTCCGTTKGTCTTCATCGTCTTTCATCTCAATAAACTATTAAAAACTATTTTACCTGAGTTTTAATATATCTTGAATTAGCCACCCGCGAAGGGGACGCTAAACAACGTGTTATTACCACCGGTAACAAATCATTACGTCRAACGTATGACGGCTGACATAATGTGACAGAAAATATTAAAGCTATTTTATGTTTACTAAAGACAAAATTCTGTGAACTAAAAAAACTGAGAAATGTTTTAAAAATGATTTTAAAGAAATATTTCGATAACAATTTCATTCATTTGGTATATTTGTAATATTATCACTGAAATCAGTTTATTTTATTCATTCAAACGCGTTGTTCAGTTTTTTTCCGCGTGTTTTTGGTATAGTCTTTAGAGGACTTGATCACAAACCTCCGGAATAAATTTACTAATTTTCTTTCCCAATTTATTATCATTTTATTATTTTTTTATATATAAGTTTTTATCTTATCACAAATCTAAGATTATTCTATTTATATGAAATTCGTTATCAGTTTTTCTTTTGTAAGTCTATAGGTTATGATTAAGATAATACTGCTTTTATCGTTGTTAGCAACAATTATAGGAATGTTGGTATTACTCTTTCAAAAGTTGATTATTGTTATCATAATTTGATGAAGTCTGTTTTAAAGCTAAGTTTTGCATTGATTTTTAATGGATATCTTGGAAAAAATGCATGGGAATCTTTCATCATTTCTAAATTTACTTCAAATTCTTTTTAAAAAAATCCCTTTTTTTGCATTCATGCTGATTTCATTTTAGTCCACTATAGGCTGTGCGCCTTCCTCCTCGAATTAAATAATTAAAATTTAATCAAAAGTAATTAGATCTTCAAAGATGACAGACGGTCATAAAGCGCTTCCTCGTGCTCTATTCAAATTGTTTTGAATTCCCATAGAAAATGTTGTTTGTAGGAGATTGTTTGTAAATCTTAGAGGTTGTCCACTCCATACAGTGTATGTCATAAAGACCACGGAACGTATAAATTATGTACATCATAACAGGCGTCTTGGCAATAGGTAGTCGTAATGTCGAGGCGTCCAAGATATAATTAATTAATTATTTTCAATATTATTTCTTTTCTTTCAGTTAAAAAGAGCTGTTAAGAATCTTTGTCTTGTCGCACGAGCTCACTGCAAGAGAGATGTACTCCTTTCAGATGAATAAAGTCGAACTGTTCTTTTAATAAAAAATGTCAGTTGAATAAATTACATGCAACAACGAAGATGTCAGCCATCACAGCAAGATAATATTTTAAGAAAAAAAAGTTAATCAAGTARATTACATCAATATTGTCTATTCTTACTGTAAATGAATATTGTCGTAATAAATATGATTTTCAAATGATTTGTGTTTCTTTTATTCTGCAGTTTTTGTTAATCAATCGTCGCATTCACGATAACTTTAATATTGTTAGCTTCTTGAACGGAAGTGTTGTTATATGAGGTTTGGTTAAAAGCCCATGGTTCTCGGATGCACATGGGACTTTATAGTAATGTAAATATTCCGTGCTTAAAAACKTTTTTATGAAAGTCGTAATAAAATAAAATTGTATTGAACTTGTAAACACTCATTAAAATTTACTCAATTCCAAGTTGTAAAAAATATGTTAGAAACCGGCGAAAAAGAGCACAACTTTTCGTGTTAAAAGTAGAAAAATGGCAAAAATTGTTTTGGTATTGTCTTTATCATAGATATACTTAAAATTAATGCAGTCGAAATACTTCATCAACACTTGTGCTTGAAGTCCTGTTCATAAAATCCCAAACGACGAATTTACACAAAATTATACATTGTACTACTAAAAGTACTCGGTTTGCCTCMTACGTCCTTCATCACTTGTAGGGTGCTGTGCATGACGCCGTGCGTGGAATTAGCCATAAATAGCATACTGAACGCTATAACTACTATCCGGGTTCCCTGTGTCTCGACGAAGCCRGCTATGTACACAAACCTCGTTTCCAGAAGCGAGCAGAGAAGCCCTGAGAACGAGGATGGGCTTTGTACTTCTCGCCACCCCCTCTCCCCTCAGGATGTTGAGTATCTACCTACCTTTTCTGACACAGGTACCCCGCGAGAGTTGAGTCTGAAGAGCAGTCATTTCACACATCTATAAAAGAAACTCTAGAKGAGTCCGGAAAGATTTTCAAATTGTTCTAGTTTCCAGGACTCTTGTCAGTGCATCATGTAGATAACTTAGGACGCTTAGGGTTTTTTTTGTCCACACAACATCGTATTTTTATCATATTAAAAACTTTCCTCTTTGGAAAGCAGTTCATATTCGCCATGTTTTGCCGATGTTTTTGGAAATTCACTGATATAGACGGTGGTGGATCCTCAAAGAAAAGGTCTAGTTTCGGACTTAAACTATATATTCATCAAGAGTGAGGTTAAGGCTGTTTATGTTAACTTATGTATACAATTGTGTGTTTTTGTATAATATTTCTATTGTTCTTTTTTATAAAAGAAATTAGAATGGAAAGTTGCTTCAAAAACGTAGGGTTTCTTGTTGATATTWGCAGGTCTTAGATGACCGCCATCATAATTGTGCATTTCTTCCTYGTAGTCTGTGGAAATAAAAGTAAGCTAAAACTGCTAATTAGCGTTCCCGAGACCTTTATTCTCTTTTTAATAGCCTTCAAACGGAAAGTATTGACAAAAACAGTACCAGGGCGCATCTTTTTGGACCTACATCGTAGATTAAGTTCATCGTACAKTTTCTAATCAATAAAATCTTTAAGATCTTCAGCAGCAAAATAGTCAGCCGTATTTACTACACCATTAAGCAATAAAATGTTGTCTTTGGACAGCGACGGTGGTTTTCCTCAAACCTGTGAAATGCAAGTGACTTTCAGTTGAGCGCGAAGGAATTATCAAATTTATTGTTCTGTAATAATTCTTTATTTTGTTTCGTATCAACAAGTATGTTTTGAATGATGCTAAACGCATAAAGAGTATGCTTTGCCCGCCTATGGAGTTTCATAAACCCGCGAAATGCACTTTACCGTACCACACCGTTTACGGCTATTTATTCTGCGCGTTTTTTATTTATTCTTGTTTCTTTTTGGTTCACGGGTTTAAGAAAACCACTCCATTAACTYTTTTCACGGTTTCCTAAGTCCATGTACATTATTTTACTGAAAAATCAAAGCAAATTGAGGCACACCCATATCTTAGTCTACATTGATATTTTTATATCTTTTCCATTCAAAAGATGTCAATATGCAGTACTCCCGCAGTATAAGATTCAATTAAAGCTATTTTAAAACTCAGGTAAGARAAAAATGACGGAAAATCACGACATGTCAACAAACGCGGTGACTTACAAACGGCAAGCGACTAGAAGCGACGGTTCCTGCTGCTCGCTTCGTGTGCAGTAAATTACTTCAGAAGTTGCATTCGGCGGTAGTGATAAATTAATCAGTGGTCGTTCGTAAGAAAAAAGTTTGAACCTTGATTTTATACTATAAACATAGTCTAGATTATCTGTGATATGAAAACCAAGACAACAACAACAACAAACAAACAAAAACACAAAATGCCTCATGAATAGAATGATAACAAGACAAAAATAAATAAAACTTAAAAGAAAATGGACTGAACGTACGTATATTACAATGTTTATGTATTTTAAAATCATAATATTGAGCTTTGTTTGTATTTTTATTATATTATATTATCAATATTATCACTACTACAACTCTGGAAAATATATATTCTGAATTCTCAATGTAACATCCCAGTACACTTCTAGATTTCTTCGTGCTAAATTCAAGTTATTGTGACACACTATAGCCATTCTAGTTTAACTATGACTCCATATAGGAAAAGAAGGCAACTCAAATAGTTCATAATCAGATGAAATTCAACGCGAAATGACATTACTGTTGGGTACAACAGGAGTCGAAAGTACAGTTCTGGTTCTGAGTCAACTCATGAGCACAAACGCGAGTGTAAGTCAAATATCATACACATAACCTCGTTTCTTTTCGCTTTTTTACTTATGGTTAAATCCCAGCGAAATAAAGGCATTACTGATTCTTTTTCGTAGCGTTTTTGTACTGCTCTTCGTCCAAAAGGAAATMGCGAAACTTAGTGTAAAAGGTTTGTAAAAATCTCGTTTAGTGTAATTCTATCAACACGTCACTAGATATCATGTAAGTCCAATATTTGCCTAAGTTTAGAGCTTTTGCCAGTAATTTTCTCTATTAAAAACCTATCCAATAGCTTTGTTTGTTTTGCATTCTCAACAAGACCAACTGAACGCCGCAATTTTTGATTCCACATTGACGTAATTTTGAAGTGTCTCGACATTTACTGCGAATCATCGGATATCGACATGTACTTAGTTGGTTGTTGAAGTAATAGTTTCCCTATTAGCGGTTTAATGGACTCTGATTTCATTACTTCATGAAAATTGTTCAGATTTATAGGASCTTTTAATTCCTAACAATGAAAACTCATCGATTAAAAAGTTTTAGAAGTATGCGTGTCTATTTTGAGTGTATTTGTAATAGTCTCTAGTCTTTTAGAGTTTTGATGCTCGGACTTTTGTTGTATATCGCGCATTTTCCATCATTTTTTTTTTTGAACAAAAAGTACCTTTAGTTTTATTTATCAGATAATTTTGGGGCATAAGAATCGTTTTTCAATCATTAATGTTCTGTTCGCATAAAAATGACTTCAATAGTTTCATGGATGCGCTCCTTAATTCTAGTCAAGACGAAGAACAACGCCTTACAAAGACTTCAGGATGCTTAACAAAAATGAACTGAAGAATTCCCAACCCAAGACCCACGATATACTAGGATGTATAGATTCTCATTGTAATTATGWTATCACATCAGTTTGGGTTTGGGAATTCCGCGTATATTTAATGTTTGTTCACATTTCTTATGCCTATAGTGCACCTAATCGCCTCTTAAAAAGCGGTTTATTAATCATTATTGAAGTTTCCTTCACCATGGAATCAGTGACAATGCCGCATATCCAAGTATTGTGAAAATAGGACGATTGTGCGGAAACTACTGTTTTATTATACTAAAAGAGCAAATTCAGCTCCACGAGAATGAAGATGTCAAGTGAAGATATTTCTTTCATCCTTTTTTACAGTTTTACCATCAAGATTTTTCAAGCCATAAAAATAACCCTTAATTTTCGCACTTGTCAAATAYGAAACCAACTGTAAACGAACAATGACATTAAGTAAAATTCTTCCAAGGAAGTAAGTTGAACCGCTTTTCTCGTGTTGAAAAAACCTTGTTTGTTTACTTTTCACTCYCTGTCACMACTGCTCTCAGTTTTCTCTCCTGTGAGAATTCCACATCACAAAGTTTACTTTTCAGTGCCACCGAGTTTGTGTGTGTGTGTTTTCGCGTGGGAACACTTGAAGTTGTTGACCCCGAGGACAGAGCTTGTCCTGCTTTTCTTCAAATAGAAATGTACCTCATCGACAAGTACTATTTCCAAAAAATAAATATAGTCATTACTAAAAATACTATACGTGTTGGCGTTTGGGATGAAAACAAGAATCGGTTTGATATCCATGGAAGTTCTCTTAGCGTATTTTCATTATCTTTTTTTTTCTTGAATGGAGCGTTCATTCTTAAAGTGCTTGAGCTATTGAAATGCTTTCAGGTCAGSGTAGAATTCAAGAGGATTTCCCAATCGAAAGTGATAGCCATATTTTAAAGTTATTAAGCAGTATAGTGTGTTTGAACAAGTTGACCCTATGCTATTGTTAGATCAATAATTCATTGAAAGGAGTAAATTGTATTAAGATATTATCTTAATTGGAAAGAAAAGCGCGCTCAAATTTATTTCTGTTTTCATTTCGGAACATAATAGATCTCTTATTGAAGCGAATRAAAGGGCAGGGTGCGTCCATCAAACGTAGCGATTCCTCGCCGAAACACTATAAATGCCGACCTCCTTCGGACCATTGAAAACAACAACCAATTACCAACAATAATGAAAAACGTTTAAAATACGTCACCTTGTTTTGTCAAACCGTACCTCGTATTTATATTTCGAAAGCAAAGTCAGCAGGAGATGCGCRAAAGGAAAGTTCTCGCGCAATAAACAAAACAAGCTGTAAAACATACTGTTCAAATCATTGTACTCCCAGATATTAAATGATTTAATTTAACGCAGAGGAGTGAAGCGTGGATGTCTGTATATATTCGGTAAACGCAAAGCCACTTTAAGAGCTAGCTTCCAATTGATTTTTGTTTGAATTAGATTCTGTTGACATCATTAAAGCTATCTYCAAGTAATCATAGAACATTTTGCTKGGTGCTTAGGCCATCACATTTTTCGACTCTCCATTTACCTAAAGCTGCCAGACCACGGGAGGATGTTTGCGAAGTGAAAACTTATCAGTCAAGTCATGACAGGGTGTGCACATCAGTAATTACACAATCATTAAGTTGCAATTCCGGTTGTGCGGAAATTACATAGATTTTGTATTGTTCAGCATGGGGATAAAACGAGTGCAACTTCGAACTGGTCAGTCACTACAGCAAGGCCGTCCAAGTGAACAAGTCGTSCCTAGTTTATTCAGTTTAACTTCACAATGAATTCTAAGTATGTAATTGTAGTTTTGGCTGTTTTGATGGCTTTTTCCATGATTCAAGAATCAAGAGCATTTACGGCTGGAGGTGGTGGGACCGTTCCAGGAAAAAGGGAATTTATGACGGTAAGTTGGTCCGAGAGTTTCTTCGCTTTTCAACTTCTTCCCAAGTAAAATTTGTATGCCTATAATATTATTAGAGCTATAGAATAAGGTTTGAAGTAAATCATGGTTCTTTCTTTTTTCTTTCTCTCATGAAAGTACAACTAAATTTTGACTGTTTCTAAAGTGTATCACATGCTTAATCAATTAAATTTGTTTCGGTTATCGATCTTTGCAAAGTTCATCGCATGGTAACTAGTAACCGTTTTTACCATTGTTGCTTCTACTATTTCCAGCCATTTTGGCCCTGAAAGTCCGCAAACAGCACCTTAGGCAGTGCCTACAGCCATTTTTYCGTTGTATTTAAGATAAGATAAAAATCAAATAGTTTTGGGTACTCAGAAAGCTCTCATGGAAAATAAAAAAGGACGTTTTAGGAAAATAAAAGGCATTGTCGTGTTAGCGAAATATTTCATCTCAATCTCATGTATTAAAACTGATAGTTTGTTGCGTCAAAATGGAGCCACAAATGAAATATTGTACAACATTTTCATAAGTTTTTTTTMTAACGTTAAACTAGGGATTTTGGTCATGTGTTATGTCATCATTTCTCGACATGAGATGGCCCACGAAAGAAACAAAGAAATTCAATGACTTTTTACATTATTTAATAACTGCTGAATATGACAAAAATAATTATTTTGAAAAATGTGTAGCTCCAAGAGCAGGCAAATTTGAGTTTGATGATAAAACTGACATCAGTCGAAGATAAAGCGACAGTGTCTTTGTGAACGACGAAGCCAGTGTCACTATTTTCTCCTGCCGTTTGAGAGTTTTGAGATTAAAAAGATGAGAACTGATCGATAACGGATGAGCTTTCAAAACAATTGATTAAAAACGTTGATTTTTGTCATGATTGAGCGATACCTTTCGTTGTTACATTATTGACAATTAATGTGTGTCCCGATMGGAGTTATTGCCCCATCATGAGGATATTGCCTTACTAGAAGAACATAACAACTTTACCTTAATCTAACACTAAACCATGCTCACATATATAAGGAAAAACACACTTGAGAAATATGAGGAAACTTGAAAAATATGAAAAAACGCTGTCATATCAAAGAAATCTCGACTCCTCATGGTAACATTAATCTCAGATAAAATCTACCGACAACTACTCAAATTCGCATTAGAAAGTGATGCGTCATTTAGGAGTGTGGGATCGAAGCGGGCTATTGAGATGTCAGTCATATGGACGAATTTAATGGCATTGGCATCAATTCAGTGTTGATTTTAAGCAATATACTTTAATGAAGTATTATTTATTTTCTTAAACTCCATTAATTTTCACTAAGTTTTTGGTTACTGACACTAGATTGTGAAATGAAAGTTGAGTTACTTGTGTGAAAATGCAGAGAAACGGCTATACRTAGTCGTGTTATSCTATTTTATTAGTATTTATAGCTGTAACATTRCTATTTTTGAACGCTTTCTTTTTTYAAGTTGTTGTGTTTCCTCTCCTTATTTTTACTATAAATTAATTTTTTAGGGTTTTTATTTGACCCCCCAAAGAAAATCGGAAACTATATCAATTTGAAATTTRTAAAACATTTTCTTTTTTACTGTAAATATTTTCTTTGTCGATCGAAAGGATCGATAAGCAATGCATTTCTATTCTTCTAAATATCAAGTTTGTTTCTGGATCTATTTAGTGAAGTTGCGATAAACCATTGCGGTCTATTGATGTAGATATTGATTATGTTTTCTTTTCTTTTCGTTATAGTTAAAAAGAGCCGTTGGAGATCTTTGCCGGGTGGCTCGTACTCATTGCAAGAGGGAACTGTACATCGCTAAGGATATGGATTAACGGCAATGYAAAGTGGGCTAAATATTTAATCTAAAATGACAACAAAATTYYCAATCTACCGATTGTTAGTGTTCAACACGCTATACAAGGACAAACAAGGAAACAAAGCAAAGATCAAATACTACAAAAACTTAATTTAGCTTCAATTCCAAGATAAAAAAACATTTTCCCGTCAAATGTAAATTGTCTAATAAACTGATTTTCAAAGGTAGTTTCAAATCGTAAGATTGTTTTTTGATAGCATGCTTGTTCAAGTGCCTTCGGCGTATAGCATCCGCCCGCATAACCGTTTTTGCCGCCTTCATGATCATAATAAATATCTTAAAATTGAAAACATTTTGAGAAAAAGCCGTAATTTTCTCTAGTTATAATAGACATATAGGTCTGTAAGAGAAGGCGGCGTTTTTCAAAGTTGATTTCTAAGTAAACAACAGACTAAAATCAGAAGACAGCTGCACGAGCACTCAAGAACAAGCGTAAGTAGAAAGCAAAGCCGAAATCAAGCGTTTGSCATAAAACTTCGACATACACTTCGAAGCTTGGTTTTCGCCGAACCGYGTGATGTCTAGGCAAGTGTGTAACAAGCGATATGCGCTCTCTTAGCATTGATTCGCGCAAAAAAAGGGTTTAAGTTTTAGTTCTACTACAACGCAAGCATAAAACTGGTTGGCATTAAACCGTCATCGCAATCGTAATCATAGYCACTAAAAATGAACCAGCTAAGACTTAGTAAAAGAATTAACTATTTTCAATCTTTGAACCCTTTGCTTTCTTGTTTTTTCGATGCTCAAAACTTTTTTAACGCGGTCGCCATCTAGTAGTTTTCTACGGCTTTTTCAATTAACCACGCCATTAAGCCGCCATATTGGAAATGACAGTGGGAGTGCAAGACTGGGACACTGGCACTAGTATTTCAATTACTGTAAGGGGGGGGGGGGGGGGGGGATTTTTGTAGATAAATACTCCGAAACACTTGTATGTCAGAGGGTTTTTTGCGCGTTTTATATAAAAAAGTGTACATGGAAAGTACCCAATCAAAGTAAATGGTGCCGGGTGTTAAATACGTTTGAATATCTAGCTACGATTGAAATATTTTTCAGTGGCTACTACGTGTACTACCAGGACCATATAGCGGTCACAAAATCCAACAACGAATTCCAAGTAAAACCACTAAACCGCAAACTAGTCGAAAACAAACTGCACTGCCTTATATTTTCACATGTTAGTAACTAATGGTTTTCAAAATGTTACTCCATCTAAAATACCTTTAGATTATTATAGTCATACTTYAGCCAGAAAGTAAACAACGAAAGACCGTCTGATCCTTAAACGATGATGTAATCTATATTTTTACAGCGGAATAAAAAANAAAAAACCGTTGTGCATAATCCTCTGACGAATTCAAAATGGTGGGATGTCCATGTGAAAAATATGAGCATAAAACACTAGAACTTGGCACCGAAATAATATTTTTTGAAAAGTTATCAAGAATATTGCGCAAAATACTGCTTTCTGCTGCTTTGATGTAAAGAAATGCCAAAAAGTTGATGAGCCGGTCAGCCGTTTCTTAGCAGCGAACGACGCTTCGGGGGCGTCACAGGGTATTAGGCAGTGTAAGGAGAAACACGAATTTTATCAAAGTCATTATTTATATAATAAAGTTTTTTCGCTTTTAAAATTCAAATTTTATCATCTTAACTCCCTGAAACTACATAAGAGAAGTATATTAGCATTATTCGTGGTTTTAAACGAGTATAATGGATAGTGTTATGATGTATAAGTTTGATAGATTTTGATGAATAATTGAAATCTTGYAAMCTGAGTATTGTCACTTGGGAAGCTAGTGCGTTATGATTGACTTTACGTAGTGAATTCTTGCAAGTTTAAAAAGCTAAACGTTCTAAAAGGGAATTCTTCGGGCTTATATTCGTGATTTACTTTGCAAATTACCGATTGATGTTATTTAATGCCTTGGAYAAGTAACTAATTCGCGATGTATATTTGACGTGGCTTCCAAAACACCTCTGCGACAGCGTTTGGASCACGTTCTTCTCAACGAGCGTTGACTGGAGCGTTGGAGTTAGAAATTGTATAATGGCACCTTCAAATTCAAAACTTTTCATATGTTTTGTGCTTTTAAGCATTTCTCTTCAAGTTTCGGGTGACTGCAAAGCCGGACCATGTTTTCCTTCACCGAAGGAGATAAAAAGCAAATTCGAAGTGAAAGCGAACTCTACTTGTGGTRTAGATGGCCCAGAGAACTACTGCACTCCAWCTGATCAAAGTTGTAATACAATTTGTAATGCAGAACAACCAAACTTGAGACATCCTCCGTCTTATGTGAACGATGCCCTAACACCAGTTACATTCTGGAAATCGAAGAATGTAGAACGGCCTGTTTATTTACAAATGGACTTCAACTCTACATTCATGATCTATGTGTCTGCAATGAAGTTTTAYTTCGAACTACCRGCAGCCGCTTACTTAGCTAAGTCTGTAGACTATGGAAAATCGTTCCAGCCTTTAGCTTATTTTGCTACGGATTGTATGAAATTTTTTGGTATGTCCACAACCGCCTACAATAAAAAGAATGGGCTTGCGGTAGAATGCTTCCTAATCGACAAGCAGCTAATGAGCGCAAAGCAGGTAAGTTTTAATATAAGTTGTAAATGCTCCTATCAAATCTAATTGAGGAACTATAAAACGTTTTCRCAGATATATAAATGTATTTTATGATTTCAAAATGCTTGTGTATTGTTTTCAATACATTTATGATCACTCTGATGTGATAGAAAAATGTATAATTTCATTTCATTATATTCATTCGTGATCGATTAATAGAAGTGGATTTAGGAGAGTAATTGCTGCAGGCAAATTGTATCATTGTTGCACATAACTATCATAATTATCAAAATTTATTTTCTAGTTAACACAGTTGTATTTATGTAAATTTTAGTTCAGTATGTAGGTTATTTTGCCTTGCTCATAACTCACTCGATGCAGTTGTTAAGATACCCCACATAAACAATGAAAACTTCCGCTTAGTTACGACTGAGAAGCCAGTATCATGTTTCATGTCGTGAAAATTGAAACACTATTCTACTACTTCCAGAATATTCAACTATTTTACTTTATTACCAAACTTATAAACTGTGCCAAAATTCATAGGAAGCTTTATTTATAGTTTTAGTGGCTGACCAATGTTTTGGAATTCGAGATTTAACTTTACCATTTAATATTCAAAAATATGAAAAAATATCGCTACTCGGTTTCTCACAATTCTCAATCAAATACAGTTAATTTTAATATATTTTTATAATTTTTATACAGTTAAGTATAACAAAGCAACCACAATTGAGATTTATAGATTTTCAWACTGGGGCACCATACTGTGGGCTATAGTCTAAGGATTGCCACACAAYCATATACCAGTCTTGTATAACGAATATCACTGCAGCTYCAATTGTGACTGACGGTTATTGAATATCATGGGCTATCCACCCAGGCTAGATAMATTCCTTTTATCCACGAAATACAGTGAATTTTTCWAGATGAACATTTTGCAAATTCGAACAAAATCCTTTTTTCTGTATCATACAATTTTATGCATTTTTTTACCAGTTTTTTGTAGTATAAATAAATGAACCCCCTATTTCAATACCTGAAGTAAAATTAATTTATTTTTCAATTTAGAGGTTTTCATTGTCGTTTATATTTGTATTTGGTATACACAGTTATTTCAAGAAACAATTTTCAAAATGGCAACATTTTACATTTTTCATATTATTAACAGGCGCATATAATTATTTCAAACTATTTGTCATAATATTGGCTTTGATGTCTTTTCTGGTTCAAGACCTGTTGTGCTTAGTTACCACACTACTTCTTAATGAATATTTAACAACCGCTTTCGTCTTTCTAATATGCATATTCATCTATTAAAGTATTATTTTTATATTAATTTTAAAGGTTTTCTGTAAATGAAAAAATAGATTTTGATAATGATTGAAAGTTTTATCATAAGAAAGCAGTTTTTTGTTGCAGGCATATTTAAAGCTTGTGAATTATTAATACTTTTTTTAAAACAAGGTAGCTATGTTATAATATTTAAATTGCTTATAGTACCTCAAATAAATTATTAATGCACTATTTTTGGATTTGTTTAAAGAAAGGTTATATAATATTTTATCATTTATACCTACTAATATTTTGATTATATATTTTTTGGTACATTAACTACTTTGCTATCTCACTCAAAATGCTATTCGATTGTAATTAGACTATTATTTTTATTGATCATTATTATTAAATTCTTGATTATTCCCCAGGAAGGGGGAAGCAAGGGGGGGGGCATAACTTAATTRGGTTATGCATGTAAAACATTTCTCATTGTACTCTTAACTAACGGCAAAAACTATAAATTAATTCTGTGAATTATTTATTATTAGATTGATTATCTSCCTATGCAAGACYSYAWAGCATCAGAWGGARTCAAAAMGAGTCAACARAATCAATCATTTTTCCTAATGACAAACCTACGTCTRATGTTAGTCAGCTACGTCACTCCAGAACGATTTAACATATCAACGGCAACAGAAAATTTAAAGAGAGGTTTGTCATTCTCAGTTGAGGACTGGAGCATTCAGGCAGCTTGTTATTGCAGCGGACAAGCATCAACTTGCCAGGTACTGTATATATTTTATTCTTGATTTAATATCTAAGATTTGAGGTCAACATGGTAGCTTATTAGTTTAACCCCCCTCTAATTAATACAGAGAGATAATGCCGGGTTTACAGTTACAGGTTGTTGCACCTTTTTAGCTTGGTTTCAGCATATTTTAAGTGTAAAGGGGTCTGTTTTAGAAATCTTGGTGCAATTTTGTTTTATTCTACAATGTGTACATCCTGCATCGATGACACATTTCAATGTAAAATCAAAAGCTCAAAATATACTGCTTGACTACTTTCTTTCAATATTATTATTCTTTGATATTGATATGTAAGTAATGCATTAATTTTGTGTTTTCTCTATTGTTTTAGAATGATACTCACTGTGTATGCGAGAGAAACACGGCTGGACGAAACTGTGAGAAATGTTTGCCTCTCTTCAATAACAGACCCTATGAAATATGGAAAGAATGTCAAGGTACATATAACTATCAATCCTAGACTTTGTTGAATGGCTCTAAATAATTTAAGAAGTGCCTCCTCAACACTCATCACTTTTTCTTCTCAAAAAAGTAATGGGCTTCCTGTGTGAGGTTGTGCAGAACTAGTCCCTCTCTTCCTATCATTCCACATGTAGCTCACAAAGTTTGCAGAGGCTTACTGTAGTACTGGTTAAACTGCACAATCGTGACATAAATTTCAACATGGTCATATCTATAAATAGACATTTCCAGGTTTATTTGAATTGTATTTTATGAATGCAGATTGCGGTTGCAATAATCATGCGCAAAGCTGTCATTACAATGCAACCAAGGGGCATGGAGTCTGTGATAATTGTGCTCATAACACCACTGGGGACAAATGCCAGCTATGCAAAGTAGAAAACTATAGGAATGGTGCAGTCATGAAGAACCACTCGSAGACATGCCTACGTAAGTCTAGAATTCATGAAAAATTTATTTTCCTGTATTATGTCAGCTCTGTSAGATATAGATTGATTTTTAATCAACATAAAAGTGATCAGACTGTATTAGATGATATAATTTTCTTTTATAGCATGTGGATGTGACCTTAACGGTGTACCCAACGTATGGAATCGTACACACTGCCATCTCATGACAGGACAGTGCCAGTGTAAGCAAAGGGTACATGGAAGAGCATGTGATACATGCAAACCAACATATTGGAATCTGAAGGATACTAATTCACTTGGCTGTGAAGGTACTAAAGTGGTGATGGTTGATGATGATGATGGACGGGATGATGATGATGATATTAATAGAATGATGAGGATGATAATAATAGAAATTGATGATCAAAAATATTTTTTGATGACTGCAAATACTGATGATTAGCTGTTTGTTTTAATACCTGAATGTTTTTTTTTGCAGAATGCAATTGTTCCGACATAGGAACTATGAATGCCTCTCAGCTATGCAATGCTGCAAATAATGGGCAGTGCCCCTGCAAAGCAAATGTTGATGGTCGAACCTGCAATAAATGCAAGGTAGCTATAACATTGATAGAATATTCAAATGCATTCTACCTAGTAAATGCTTACATGGTCTTTGGTTGTGATTTCAGGATGGGTACTACAATCTAACTGCTCATAATCCCCATGGATGCTTAGCGTGTAACTGCCATTTGGCTGGATCTGTTGGTGTTTCATGTAACTCTACAGGTGGATGYTCCTGCCGTCCAAAATTTTACGGACTGAAATGTGAAAAACTTGAAGAAGGTTTTTACGCGGCTGGTCATTCCGACTTGAGTTTTGAAGCAGAAGATGCAAGTTTTGAACCAGTAAGAATTACAGTTATAGTATGTTTATAGGTGAGCAGTGATTTGCAGTATAACATAGCTCATTTCCTTGAACTGTTTGCCATTCTTTTAGAAACAGGAATACGTCAAATATRCAGTTTATGACTCTCAGCAAACATTGACTGTTGGCGTTACTTTGATGGAAAGCAATGACGTTGCAAATCCAACTAAAATGGAATTGATGGCTAAGCTTCCAACAACAGCCTTTTACTCACCCTTTACCAGATATATGGTAAGGTCTTATGAGAAATTCCTATAAAATAAAATTAAATTCCTGATCTCTCCGGAAATGCCATGGAAATGTTCATTTCAATGATTATTTCAAGGCTATTCCCCGCTTGTTCTTATGGTTGTTGTTGAACTACAACGACTTTAACTTGATATTATTATTTGGTTATCTATTATATAGACATCGTCGGACTGGTACAACGTGAAGATCACTTTGGAGCTTCGCTCTATATTTACTCCATTCTCCTGCGATGGAGGAAAGACGAACATTACGAGAAACAAACCTTATGTGTTCCTTGCCAATGCTTCAGCGGCAAGCGAATCTGTCACCTTTGCCAGTGGTATCTGTTTACGAAGTGGTGAATACTCTGTAGTTCTTGAGCTTACACCGGGTAGTTCTGGAGGTAAMAAGAATGCAACGATAACGCTTGATTCGGTAAGCATTGTGCAGAAATTTCCAATCAATTTTAATAACACCATGTTCGTTTCAGGGTTTTTTTTGCCGCGCGCGCGCGTTCAGATTTGATCAATTTTCCCGCCTTTTTTGATTTGAGCACATCGCGCATGATTGAAAAAGTCATCCAAAATTGCTTATATTCTAAACGGCTTCTTTTTGTCCTTTAGGTGGGATTTATTCCAACTGTTTCAATGTACGATCTGTATAAATTCGTGGGCGAGGAAATKCAGAAAAACATCTCGTTTTACTACAAACAAGCGCTTTCTGGAGCCAGATCTTGGTCAATGCACTCGAGGTATGGTTGTCAAGCTCTGTCTGGATTTTATGGGTACATTTTCGGTGAAGGTCAAGGTAAGTTAAAAGCGAATTCTGAGAATATTCATTTCRATTCATTCATGTAAAATTCCGAAAAAATTGTCATGTAAAATTAAATGTTCATTTACCTAATTTTTTGTGGCTCCCGTCTTTAATAGTAGACGGAAAAACACTCTGCTATGGAGTTGTAAGAAAGTAAAAGCTCGTTTGTGAGATTGGAAGTGACATTTCTTGATATYATTTCTTATAAAATTTTGCAGCATGTTCGTGTAACGCAACTGGCAGCAACAACCCTGATGTGTGTGACCAGTGTGGTGGACAATGTTCCTGTAAGCCAAACGTTATTCGACGAACGTGTGACAGATGCAGACCTGACTACTTCAATTTTACTTCCGGCTATGGATGCCAAGGTAGGTACCAGAATGAGACAGGAAGAACACAAAAACCAGTTCATTTAAATATTTAGCATCGCAGATTTTGTGATAATTCAATTATTATTTTTAGATTGTTTAGTACGTTTTAATTTTACTCTCTTTCATATTTGTAAATATTTTCATTCACAGCTTGCTTATGTCACGCAAAGGGTTCAAATCGTACTTCGTGTCACGCAACAACAGGCCAGTGTGACTGTAAAGCCAACGTTATCAACAGGCAATGTTCAGCATGTAAACCAARTTACTACAATCTTAATAGTGRAAATGGGTGTTTACCATGTAACTGTATGGCTGATTATTCKATGAGTCTGCAGTGTCACGCAGATACTGGTGTTTGCTCATGTAAACAAGGAGTTGGAGGAACAAAATGTACAGAATGTAAAGATACGTTCTACAACCTAACTACAGAAGGTAACGACCAAAAACTGATAAAAMAAAATACTAAAATGTTGTGAATTCCCTGCTGCAAACTCTCCGGATATGATTAACCTAGTCCAGAACTACTGTAACCCCTTTTTTTCTCAATGACTATGCTGCTTGGAGCAGCTAGCAAAAATGGTGGGAACTAGCGGTAAACWAGTGTGAGCTGCGTCGGTGTTTCTAAAGAAAAAGTTGTGTAAAAAAGATAAATTTAACACCGTAAAAAAGTAGGTGAAACAACTTACTGACGTTTCGGACGTTAATCCTTCGTCGGAGTAAAGCTAGYAAAAATGCCAATGTCTTTTTATATTTCAGGATGTACAGAATGCAACTGTAATGACGCTGGTAGTCACAACCTTACTTGTCATAAGACATCAGGGAAGTGTTTCTGTAAAGAGCATTCAATGGGAAGGACTTGCGACAGATGCCCTGGTGGTTACTATGGATTAGGGTCATCACACCCTAAAGGCTGTCTTCAGTGTCAGTGTTCTAACAAGACCAGTAATTGTAGTACCGCAGAAGGCTGGAAAGATACTGAGGTTTCTAGCAGTTTTGTATTAAATTCAAACTTCGCAGGCTCGGATGGATGGCTCGTAAAAAGTGCTGATGGACAAACACTGGAAACTCCACCTTGGAAGGTCGAACCTTCATTGTCTGCAGGTTTAGTAAAGTAAGCTGTTTTATAATATGCATTCGTCGTTCTTACACTTAGCTTGCTTTGATTACTCAACGAGCGTGCTTTATTCACTGATAAACCACAGGCAGCCCATTATGTTTTGCATAAACTGCGTTAACTTTTTGTAAACATTGTTTTCAAAATGCGTTTTAACAAATATCCTCCACGAAAATTATTTTTGCGCTAATTTGTCCTGTGATGAGATGTAAATTGAAAGTCATTATAACTTGATTGACATAATTTTATTTGTACTTTTTTGTAGTAATTTTATGGGATTTATCCGAACGAAAGCTAGCGATGAACGGTACTTTTCTGCTCCAGCAAAGTACGTCAAAGAAGGAAGATTTGCGTACACGTACACRATGTCCTTCAGGCTTAGACAAGATAATCACACCTCTCCCGAGAATTCTATAAAGGGCGATGTCATTCTAAAAGGAAAAGGATTTAATCAGCCGATCGTTTATCGATTACCATCACCTCCTGTTTCAACAAGGTTTACGGCATACACGGTAGGTTGTCGATTCAGTGGTGGATGATGCTATTCTACCTTCGTACAACTGGGGTCAGAAGGCTTATGTAGTCGTATTGTTTTCAGATCAAATTCATCGAAAGTGATTGGTTCGTTAACACTACACAAGGACGACGCCCTACGAGCAGTGAGATTGTAGCAGTTTTAAGTACCTTGGAGTACATCTACATTAGAGCAAAGTGGTCGACACTAACGGACAAAGTGACACGTCTTGCGGACATAAAAATGAAATTCAGCAACAAAACCAACCAAGGAAAAACCGCATACAACGTTGAAACCTGTAACTGCCCTAATGAATATCAGGGACAGTTCTGTGAACGCTGTGCCCCAGGATTCACAAGAGCCACGCCCAATGGGGGTGCTTACGTTGATTGTGTACCATGCAACTGCAATGGACACTCCGCTACCTGTGATCCGGAGTCTGGAGTGTGTTCAGGCTGTCAGCACAATACCACAGGTTAGTTTGTGATGTAATGTGACATAGCCTGGCGTGACATAGCGTGGCGTGACATGACATATATGGACTCATCGCCAATTTGGCAATCATTATCATCACCGCCTTGATTTAAGGAATAAAAGACGAAATTCCGTGTTTGATACTCTGATCAAAACACGCGGGATGTAGGGAGAGCAGGGAGAGCACGAGAGAAGCGTAGGAAACCACGACGCGTAGCCCTACATCCCAAGTGTTTTGATGAGAGTATCAAACACGGAATTTCGTCTTTTATTTCTTTTCTAAAATTAAAAGAATTACGAAAATTGTAAAGAATGCTGACTTTTGATACGATATAAAACGATGAATTCTCCTTACATTGCAGTTGTCTGCAGCTTCTGTAGCTTCTAAAACGTTTGATAGCTCTTCTTCTGGGATATCATCCCAGAGGACATCATAAATAGGCATTTCTTCGTTCATTGTTCTTGAAAATGAATGATAACAACAACAAATGCAAACGGCGGGAAAAAATAAATTTTTGACGCGCGCGAACGTGTTTTGATACTGTAATCAAACATGGTTTTCGAACAATCACAGCGCGCGTAGTATCCTAAATATTTTAGAATTTTAATTAATAAACAGTTTGACAATTGGTGGTATTATTTTCCAAGTCCTTACGCTTCGAGATTAATCTATCATCATTGCTGATTATATTTAGTGATATTTTAATCAATCTCTCTCCAGGAAAACACTGTGAACTTTGTGCTGATGGTCTCTATGGAAAGGCAACCCATGGTACAGCCAATGACTGTAAGCCATGCCCATGCCCTGGCGGTCCCTTCTCAACCAATCAGTTCTCACCAACCTGTATTCTGGGCGGTGATGGAAACCCTACTTGTAATAACTGTACAGAAGGACACCATGGAAGACGCTGTGAGAAGTGTACAAATGGCTACTTTGGTTCACCAATGGTAAGGCAGAATGGCCGTTTTTTTTCTGGAAAATGGTCTACAGGAAACTAATAGGCAATGTGCAGCGATGCCTTTTTGTGYAACAAGTTATGATGACAGTTGTAGTCTTTTTCATGAAGTTGTAGTCTTTTCATGTCGTCTGAAAATAATAATATTTAGCTGTTTTTGCTTTTTCATTAAAAAAAAATTCTTTTTACTTGACAGGATGCTAATGGCAAATGTCGCAAATGTAACTGTAACGGCAACGTGGACGCAAACATTGAAGGGAACTGTAACACAACGACAGGAGAGTGTAGCAACTGCGGCTACAACACCACTGGATCCAACTGTGAGAAGTGCGCTCCTAATTACTATGGCAACGCTCTAAACAGAACTTGTTCAGGTAAGCTTTTCTTAGCTGTAGTGACAGCAAGCTTCCTTCGCAGGTCTGCTATGTATTACTGTTGTAGGGTTTCCTGTGTCATGGAAGTCATTACTCAGGAAGATCGCGGTAAAACATTTTAGGAGCATCAGGAGTTACCTAAGGAGGGAATTATGTACATCGCACTTTTACGCTCACCTAATATAAATGCCTTATGTTTCAGTTTGCAAGTGCGATAAGACAGGCACACGAACTGGAGTACCATGTAATCACACCACTGGCCAGTGCGCATGTCTGCCACACGTCACGGGCAAGTCATGTGACCGTTGTGAAGCAAATGCATTTAATTTCTCAAGTGGTTTGGGATGCTCGATGTGTAATTGTCATCTTAATGGTGCCAATAAGACGCAGTGTAATGAGGTATGTAGAAAAGTCTATGAACACTTCCTCAGTAATGTGCTTACTCCTTCACTCGAAACAGAAGAACGGAGCATCGATGTAGAAATAAAGTGATTAGTTTTGATGACTTATTGTGTATTCTTTGCAGACAACTGGTGTATGTGAATGTAGGACCAACGTTGAAGGTGACAAATGCGACAGTTGTGTTCCTGGTTTTTACGGAGTACATCTTTCACCACCGTGTCAGGGTGAGTAAGACATGTACTTTTCCAACCGTTCCCCAGCATCTCTCCTCTATTAAACCACTTTTTATATGCATTCACTGATGAAGCCGTCAAAGTCGAAACGTTTGAAATAAGAGATCACAGTATAATTGTGACTTAAGAAGTCAGTAACTTTTTAAATGTATCTCCTATTTAGTCTTGTTTCGATAGTTTGATTTGAATCATTATCTTTGTTTACAGAGTGCAACTGCAGCAGTAATAACACGCTCAATAATACAGATTGTGATGTCGTTACTGGTCAGTGTCAGTGCAAAGTTAGTCTAGGTGGTGCCAAATATGGTGGACGACAGTGTGACCGCTGTGCAGATCGTAGTGTCGGTAGGTTTAGTATACATAGTTTTGGGATACCTGTGTATATGCATAAAAAGGACTTTCGCGGCCATATAAAGTAATAATCTTTTTCTTGTGTACATAGGTGAGCCTGATAACTGCAGACAGTGTAGCGATGGTGGAAAATGCTTTGACAAATGGTACGACTTGATCCAAGTGGAATCTAACAAAGTGAACAGCCTGGAACACAATGTCACTGAAATGTTGAAGGCATTTGGAGGTTCTTCGGTTACTGTCGATAGTATTAATAAAACTATACAAGAACTGAATAAGAATTTATCCTACGCTGATGGCGTGTTTAATGGCGCTCAGTATAACACTAAAGATAAACAAGAACAGATCAATAGAGTAAGTAGTATGGATGATAAGATTATGATGATGATGATGATGATTGTACATGATGATAGCAGTAATTGCACGAGATAAGATCAATGTAACCATCACCCCTCCACTCCCTCCGAAACGTCAGTATGTCTTTAAAGCTTTTTCTGTGCGGTATAATAGACTGCTTTATTAGAAATACGTATATATCATGATATATCACATATATTACGTATATATTCAGTACAGATATATTTCATATCATGATAATAGTAATTTACCAATACTCTTGACATTTGATTCAAAGTTTTTGACATTCAAAGTAAACTGAATCATTTCGCTATTAAAATGTTTCTCATCAAGTTTATCTCTTTTATTCAGATCCAAGCATCAATTGACGACTTACATCGACGGCTTAACGAATCTAGTCGAATCATCAACGATGCTAACAGCTATATCAAGTCAACGGTCGAGGGCTTCAATGGCACGGTGATGGTCATGAAACTCGATCAATCAGGACCTGAGCTTGACAACACCGGTTCCGTCGTGTTTGCTGATTATTCGACGCTTATGGCAATGGCAGTGACGTATCGAAACAGAATTGTAAAATTGAACGAAACTGGACACGAATCGTTCAGAAATATCTCAACGAAATATGAAGCGGTAAGAATTTATTATAGTGAATATCATAGCAATCTCATCCCCAGGGTCTCTCGGCTCGCTCTTTTTTTCAAAATGTTGTCGCGGAGATGACGTCTTGCCAAGAGCGTCCGCCATTTTGCGAGTAAAGAAGGCACTGGGAACGAGGTTGATATGATAGCAACCAGACTCTCAGTCAGCTCTATATAATGGACACCTCCGGGACTAATATCAAGGGCCCGTGTATACGACAGTAATTATTTTAGCAGGGATATATTTAAGTGTCCGCATTAATGAGGTGCGGTCCTGCGGGGTGTTTTGTCCGTAATAACGGGGTACTGTGAGTGTAGCTTGATATTATTATTTTTTTTATTATTATTTTATTATTATTATTATTTATTATTATTATTTTATTATTATTATTTTATTTTGATATTATTTTTTCGTGTTTTCAGATCAAGCTTGCGAATGAAACCGCTGCTCAAGCTGCACAAAATATTAGTAACGCAATGAAACAACTCACCCAAGTCTCCTTGCGGCGGACTGAAGTTGAAGAGAGACTGGGTTCAACGTTTCAAGCCGAGTTGCAAAACAGTAGTGCAATTCTTGATGAAATAAAAAAATGCAGTGACGAAATCAAGAAGTTGCTTACTTCAGCTATTGCACTAGGAAATAACGCCACTTCAACCGTTAACGAGGCAGAAACGATTGCAAAGAACGCCAATACAACTGTACACCAAAGGAAACTAGAAGCTGAAAAAGCATTAGCTGATGCAAACAACGCACTATCAAGTGCTAATAAGTCGAGGGAAAATGCCACTAACGCACGGAATATGGCCGCGCAGTTTAAGGTTCATATTCTGTGTTTGTTTGTTTCCGTCTTTTTCTCAATGATCCCGATTTATTTCATTTTTCGTTCATTTTCCCTTCTTTTCTTTTTCTATTCTCTGTGATAAATATTGAAGATAATATTCTTTTATTCTTAGGTCAACGCTTCTGCTGTTCTGGCAGACTCACAAGCAGCCCTGAAAAACGTCACTGATGGTATAAATACAATGGCAAAGGCCATGAACCAGTCACGTGACTCGCAAGTCATTGCTGATAGGGTAACTGGAATGGTTATGCCTGTTTCCTTGGATACCATCAAGGGATTAACCAATGAAATCAAAGATATTAAAGTGGATGAAGCGCTTATTAACAAAACTTATGAGGGAGCTGATGACGGACTGAAAAAGGCTCAAGAAGTCGAGAAATTGTCTAATAAAGCCATGTAAGTATCATATGTGAATCCCATATTATTATCACTTCTTTACTGAACTAATCATTACTTCTGAAACTTGCTTGGCTACCTGTGATAATTCTTCATCTCTCACATCTTATATTTTCACAGAGAAACAGCCCGGAAAACCCTGGATGAGGTCCAGAGGATTGAAAAGTCCATCAAGAGCTCGAACGAATTACGAAATGAAACAGTAAATATGCAGAAACAGACTGACGAGAAGGTCAAGCAAATTGAAAACATCACTCGAGCGGTAAGGATTCAATTCTCTGTCTAGTATTGAGAGGACAGGGCTTTGATCTCGCGGATTACTCCTCAGTAGAGACAAAAAAACGCCATATTGCGCGGAGAATCCACGCTTAACGATCAAATATTTCTGAATTAGGTAGCGAAGGCAACCAATCTACCCAGGGTACTCTGTCTAGTTCGACACAAATAAAATGCACTGTGTTATTCAACAATCTTTGTATGTAGTAAATGTATCTTATGTATGCAATTATAGATAGAGGACAGGTTTGGAAATGCGTCAATGATTGGTAAAGAAACTCTTCAGTTAATCAACAAGACAATAGATACTGTCGACGAAAGCCTGAATTGCTTTAATGCATCTAAAAGAACAGTTGAGGCAGCGGTTGTCAGAGCGGAGAAAGCCTACAATCTGAGTCTAACAGCTGAAAAGGTAAACAAAGTTGTTTACAATAAAAGAGGATGCAATTTGAGAAATTTTAGGTATTGGTGTCGTAATTTGGAAATTATAAAAGCTCAGTTCATTTAGAAGGTTTGATCACAACTTAAATTAGAACGTTTAATCACATATGTTTATTGTTGTTTAGTTGAACGAAACTGTAAATGCAAACATCACAAAGCTAGCACAAATGGTCGAACCTTTGGCAGCCATCGCCCAAGCCAACTACACAAGTATAGTCAAGGCTTATAACGATTCTGTACAACTATATAAAGATGTCAATCAGGCAGAAGGTATGCACTATATATTGCTATCAGACTATCCAATATACACTTACCTTCGCATCGTGTTTCTCACAGCGCATCTTTTGTGCTCTGATAAATCTTCAGTTTTTCTTAATTGTCGCATCTTTTTGTTGTGAAATTTGCAATCTAAAGATGCGCGGGCGATTTCATGTTAATATCATAGGCGCGCGAGTATTTCTGTACAGCTTGCCGAAGCTCCCATTATTTTTTGATCGAAGATACCTCGTTTTCATACGTAAGGCTGTGATGATTTTTGAGAGCACTTTCACATCTCGGAAATAGTCTGTCTGTTGCCTCGTACGACCATGTGGTATAAATTTAGTTTTCCGTCATTCCTGAAAAGGACTCTTGCGCCTTTCCTCTCCCACCCTATGCTAAACCACGTTTCTATCTCTTTAATGCATATCTCTATCCATTTGTAGTACTTCTGGACGAATACATCAAACAGCGAAAAGAAATGGAAACCCTTCAAAATGAAACACTATCCTTAGAAAAAGAACTGGATCTTCTTATAAAAGACTTTGGAGAACAAGAAAAGAAATACAGTTCGTGTCGTGAACCATAACACGTGACCACTTCTCAAGTTGATTGACGTTGAATACTTTGATTGAAGTCTGAATCTAAGCATTCAGCCTGATGGTCCTTACTAGCCAGCTACGTGACCAACACAGATTTTTACGCCGAGTGTAAATATAAGACAATTCTCTGTTGATTGGAAGGCAAGGGTCAGTGAAGGGCTCTAAGAATGTTCGTAGCATTAATGTAGTTAGATATATATTTTGCGCTTTTCTATTTTCAAGAAAATAATTTTAAGAACATTTTGATTCGTCTTCATTAAGTAGACGCAAATTTCGTACGCGCGGAGTCTTTACGCGCCCTCCATACAGGGTGCGCGCCCAGAACCCTCAACGTCTGAAATCTGAGCACTCAAGGTGATTATAAAAAAAGAAATATATTTCCATTTCATGATAATTTGAGAATCATGATATTAATTTCTTAGTACGTTTTTATGTTTGTTTTAAAGCAACTTTTTCTGTTTATACTCGTATTGCAAGGAGCTCATAGGAGAAACTGGAGACCATTAGTGTTTCATTGAGGAAGAAAGTCACTTTGTTGAGTGAGATTCTATTGACATACTTGTATATGTCTTCATGATATTTTTAAATTCAATTGAACAGATAATACATAAACGTAACTCATGTCACTCATGTGGGTTGTCTTGTCAATTCGATGCATGCGGATACCTTTAAAAATTTGGCACTAAATTCCTTCAATTGCATGATGAGAAGTTTATAATTGCATTGCATGATGGGAAGTTAAAAATTCCATTGCATTATGGGAAGTTAAAAATTCCATTGCATTGCATTATGGGAATTTTTTCAAATTTCATTTCATTGTATGATGGGAAGTTTGAAACTCGATTTCATTAAGTTTTAAAGGTGACCTCATCGTAGGTTTTTATACGCATATACAATGGGATCATATTCCCTACAAAATATAGTGTGAAAATATTGTAAATAATATAATATTTATGAACTGCTTCGTAGCTTTGCTATGTAGATTAATATAAATAACAGCTATGAAGAGTTAGAAATTGTATAATTGAAATGATTATTCTCAAAGTAATGATTATTTTTAATAATGCTAAAAGTGACATTAAGTGGCTTAAAAGACGACGTTTATATGCGTTGTGTATTCACCTTACGTGATAAAAACGCTAGCTGTTACGTGCGTTAAATGGTTACTTCACGTGAAAGGAATGTCAAGTATTGCTGGATGTTCTGAGGATTGTACACTTCACATGTCCGCTTGATTTTTATACTTGAATGAAATAAAAAAATGAACTTTTGTAAGAGTGACAGTTTCATTCATAACGGCACGTTCATTACTTTTTTTCTGCCGATATCTTCATAATGCACAATACCTACTTGCCTAAACTACGTATTTAAAAATACGTAACTTACATCAATGAATGTTGTGTTACATTTTTTACACCAATCTATCTAGAAATCGTTCTCATATTTTTTTAACGGCCGAAAAGAATTGTGGTAGTGTGTATGACGTCATCGTGGGAAATGTTCATATGTCCACATCGCTGGAAGGACTGCAACTGTGGTTCACACGGTGAATTTTCCAAAGAGATGAGAACTTAACAGCTTTTCTTTTTGAAATAATACACCATTTAGCTATAAAAACTAACGCATCGATTAATATGAAAAAAGGTTTCTATGATATTAATAAAAACTATGATAATAGATGACCAAAAGCTTGCGGTTTTTATTATATTCGCTGGTTTTGAAGCCCGCCATCGCCGTCTGGCAGCCATATTGGATATCAGATATAAAACTATGAAATAGTTTGAAAGAAAACAATATCCTTTGATGTTCAATCGTTTGTAACATTTTTACTTCAATATTGCCGCGGGATTTGCTGATATTTACAAAAAAATCAGCCATGTCTTAGTAAAATCAAAGTGAATCCAAACAAAAACACACGTCGAGCAAGCAAAAAACAGGTATTCATAATTCTGATACACATGCCAACATATAAGGTTGCTAATTTGATGTATTTTCTATTATAACTAAATCCGCCCTTTTGTGGAAAAAGAACAGTTGGTGGACACGATGAGAAAAGGATTAACTCATCAAGGAATTTAATAATTCCTACAAGTATAATGTAACATAAATGAAATCTCTGCGGATTTTAGATCTGGGCCGCTGATCGTTATATATGTGTTGAATTGTCTGAGGAAATTGTTACAAATTCAAGCAGCTCAACACATCATCCTTGCATGCAGTTGTTGCGTCGATTTAGTTTCAGTAAGTGAGAACTTAAGACTGATACAGCCGATGATCACAGGAAGAATAACAAACTCAACATGGAAACACCACTACAGCTACAAGAAAATAAAAAAGAGCAAACAAGTTCATACGACAAGATACCAAAAGATGAAAGCTTGAAAAGCCTTCTTGGAACAGCGAACGAAGAAGGCAATCGCTCTCGTCGTTTTGATATCAATGACTGGAGAATTCTAGCGATAATTGTTTCCTTTGTTTCTATGTTTGTTATCCTTGTCCTTGGCGTGGCTGGTTTAATCACTTCTGAGATTTCTGGCAGCTCAGCTGAACTGGCCTTTGCTTTCGACGCGCTCCTTGGCATTGCGTCTTCGGGCTGTGTGGTATGGCGGTTCTACAAAGAATTTGCTCCCTGTGAAATACCAGGAAAAGAGAAAAAGGCATGTCTTTTCATCGCTATCGGTTTTATATTGTCAGCAATGGTCATGTTCGCTCGTGCAATACATTGCCTCGTTTATAAAGTCGAGCCTTTGGAAACTGTAACCGTTATAATAATCTCAACTCTGGGATCCCTGTGCTATGCGCTTTTGTTCTTTGTGAAGTTTAAAGTGGCTCAGAAGCTTCAAAGCGTTGCCATGAGAACCGATAGCTATGACTCTGCTACTGGTGCTTTGATGGCCCTCGGTGTTCTGGTCAGCGTCGTCATCTACAAACTTGAACCAGGAACGTGGTGGATCGATCCTGTTATCGCCCTTATTATTGCCATGACAACGTTTACCTATGGGGTCATTGTGCTGGTCAAGGTTACTTTGAATAAAGGATTCGGAGAACCTGAAGAATATCAACAATTTTGACCTTAATAGTATAGAAGTATAGTAATTATGAATTTAAAGAGAAAAAAATAAAACTGACTTGAACAGAAACCATAATCAAATAAGCACACTTTACATAATGTAAACATCTGAAATATGTTTGTAAAACCTTTAAGTATGTAATGGTGTGATGAAAAAAAATAAAGGAAAATAATCTAACGCGAAATGTACGGGATCCCTGTGGTTTTTAGGGATATCAAGATGGCGGCCGTTTGGTGGTTGATGATGGCGAAATTCAAATACAAATCTTCTTGTCGACGTTTGATTTGTATTCCTGCTTCGCAGCTGAATGAGTTGAGTACAGAGCATTACGATATATTTAATTGTTGGTATACATTGACGAAATTCTTCATCAAAAGCTGTTTCACCGCTCTTTGACCTCTTTTGTCGACTCGCTCTTCATATCTCTTGAAAGACTAGAAATTATTGACATACGAGATGTCTTTGGCTTCAAAGGTTGGTCATATGTGGTTTACAATATTTTAAATCTAGTAACTACCATGATTTATAGTTTATAGTTAAGCTTACCTCGACAGTTATTTCCCCATCTATTCTCTATGGTGTCTGTAAGTTTTGGACAACTACACAAGCTTAGCTTACTTCATAATCTCTTTTTGGCAATTCAAAAGCGTAATATTGTACACTAAAACTTTATATTTTTCGTCCATAGTATTCTTCAAATCTCTGTTTAGTTTTCCTGACAAATGATCCAAAGGAAGCAGGTACATACTCGTCACTTGCCAACTTCTTATATGCCAATGGTTTCACTCCTATTGAAGTGCAAAGTCCAGGACAGGCCCTCATACAAACCAGACAAGTGAAGTTCTTTGTTATAATTGTGCTAGATGATGATCATGATCTTATCAAGAAAATGAAGTAAGTAAATGAAATAAAAATACAATTGTTGAAACTGGTGAACATTGATTTAATAGCAAACAGTTAAATTTCATTTATCTGAACAATATATTTTTGAAATAGATCTGATGATGGAATGAATGCTGACACAATTGTCATTGCTGTTTCCTCTTCGAATAATGCTGAAGGTTGGTTGTAAAATAATTTGTATTTGCTACCAATCACTGTTGTTAGCAGCACTATTAAGCCCAATGCAAGTTTTCATGATAGACAATGATTTTATTATAGGAAAAATATTCAAAAAATGTGTCAAAATCTTCTACTTTATAGGGACAACCCAAGAGCTGTTCAATCAAAATGTCATCCAACATGTTGTACAGAAGTCAAATGATTTGGAGCAATTTCAGAAATCACTAATTGAGGCTATTCAAGTCCATTTGATAAATAATGATGCTACAAGTAACAATCCAGGTGAAACTACGTCACTGAATCTCAGGACTTAATTGCAAAGTTCCTCAACCCAGTTTCAATCTCTCCATTATGCTTCAAACATCAGAGGAGGGCTGGAGGGGGTCTTTGATATATGTTGATCAAAGTAGCTTTCATGTTTACATGTGATTTTGGTTTCGTTTCAGGACCACCAACTGTTTTCCAACCTCAAGAACCACAACCTGAAATCATTCAGCACAGTCCATTACAACAAGCATCCTTTTCACCACAAGCTGCAATTCTAGGGCACTCACTTCCTGGACTTTCCTTTCCAAACCAATCCAGTCCAGGTCATCAACTATTCTTTCCAGCCAATCAGATGCCTGTACAGCAACCAGGTTCCTGTCAATCACAGCAGATGTTTCCAAGCAACCAATCATTTCCCCTTCAGGCTTTCACACTGATCCCCCCAATGATTGTACCCTTCCACACATTAATGCAAAACAATGGATCAAGCGCACATGGGAACGAAAGCTACATGATGCCCAGAATAGTGGATTTTAGCACCACATCTAGAATGATACAGCAGGCAAACGAATCTAACGTGCCGGATTTTGCAGATTCCTCAAACACAGATCCAGGTTTGTCTGGCAAAGACCAAGGAAGCCCAGACAGCACTACTAATAACGTGCTTGGGACTGAAATCTCCTGTTTGAACGAGCCCCAAGATAAAAACGAGCTTGTGAATAAGTTGCCTAGTTTTGCTAATTTCCTGGATTGCCTTGAGCCACACCCAAAGAAAATCAACGTGCAGGAAGAAAGGTCTGTCATTACAGTAGAATGGTCACTTTTTAAACTTTAGGCTAGGCTAATGATAATTTTCTAATACACAGCCACGATGAAGATCAGATTGCTGCCAAAAGATCCAAACTGGAAACTGAGAACAAGCGCATGAGTAGTGAGGGACAGGATTGCGATGTAGGTGATGAAACAAAGAACCCCCTTTCTGTACTCAAAGCACGTCCATACTTTATGAATCTAGATGAGAAGATGGAAGACATAGCGTTTGACCCTAAAGTGAAGTCGTCTGATCGTCACAATGCAAAGGAAAGACATAGAAGGTGATTTATCCACGTAACTTAGCTTTGAAAGTGCATTTTATGCAAAGTAAAGTCATGAAATGATGTTCCTGTTCATTTTTTTGTAGAATTCGTATCACCAAGGCGACAGAGTTCTTCAAAGAGAATATACCATGCATGACTCCTAATATGGACAAGGCCACTGCCCTTCACGTGACTGTCTATTACATCATATTTCTACGAGACGCGTTAAGACAAATGAATCCAAACGTCATAAAACAACTGCATAAGGTATCTTACCTCTTGATGCCGGGATCTGAAACTGATCTCAGTTTAAAATCGCATCATTTTGTTGCGATACTGAGATAGACAGGATACTTAAAGAATCCCAACCAACTACAATACAGCGCGCGATTTTTTGAGTTTCCTTTTGAGTAAGCATGTGCGAATTTGCGGTAAGTCGTAATACTCCGATTTCGATTTCTTGTTTGCTCTGTGTTAGCCTCAAAGCCAAGCAATATATTCTTTTGTTTCATTGATAGCCCAAGAAAACGCATGGAATTTGAAAAGAAAGACAATAGAATTGATTTGAAATCTCACACTTTTATTCCTTATTTGCGCGCAAATGAGGCTAACACAGAGCATTGGAGAATTCGAAACTGGATTATTAAGGTTGGCTGCAAGGAGAACATTATTTGGTGCGCGCCTTTTCAGTGATCTGTTCAATTCTTTATTTTAGAGTTACGAGGAAGAATGGAAATCCTACTTTGAGAAGGTGACTGCTACAGTAGAGTAATAAAGCCCAAGATCCAAAGTCCTTGGCTCAAACGGAACGGGGGTTACTAAAAAAATTTGTAATTGGCTGGCTGATCTGAGTTTATAACCCTTTCTACAGCTCAGGATATCGAAAATAATTGCACTTGTGTTTTCCCTCGGGTATATTTGGGTGAATTATTTTGATTACTATTTTGAAAGTAGGGTACAAGAGTGAAGCCATGAAATCCGTGAAAAACAATCTACCTGGGTAATCTCAGTATTTTTTTCGTTTCAGTTTTTTGTTGAATGTGATAAAACCAATTCAGTACAAATAAAAGAAATATAAACCAAAGTATCAGTTTTATTTTCTGTAAAGAAGAAGAGAAAAAGATTTCAATTTAGCGCGTTATCACGCCGGTCTTCCTGTGGTGATACTTAACTGACCCCTCCCCCCTTGGTTAAACAAAAGACCGCGTTTTGTTTACGGTCAACGTGCGAAGTCTCCTTCAGCTCCTGGAAAAGGTTTGTGCAGCATTTCCCTGTTCTTTTTATTCTGTTAAATAACACTTTTACTCTAAAGAGTTGAAAGAAGATATTGTTAAGTCATATTATCCTGCACAGGTGTTGAATTCCTTTGCATATGTCCACATGACTTCCAAACAAGAAGCCAAGTTGTGAAGGGACGATTTATAAAATATGGCGAGTCGTCGTTGGAAAGAGCTTTTGAAATAACTTCAATTGATTATAATGGTCTCTTATGATCAATTTGTTATTGAGGAGTCAAATCAGGATAATAAACAAGCACTTTTGATCAAATGACTTCGCTAACACCTTGAGCGAGCAATTATCAAAGACCATCTTGTGGTTGTCATCTTGGCATTCCCGTCAAATATAAACACAAAGTGAAATTACATCATAAACTACCACATACCAGTGGAGATTGGTAGTTCGAATGGGACTAGTTTAACGACATTTAGATGTAAAGTTAGTCTTTCGGAGCCAATTTCTTGAAAATGGAAGATGTGACGTCAGGTCGAAGACCCACACCACTGGGTGGCAGGACTCCGAGAAGAACCCCTAGTTCAATCCCGAAAGCACGTAAACTTCCTTCTCCTGTGAGTAGAGATGGCAAGCAGCAAGTCAAGAAACAAAAAGAACAAATGTATGAACACAGTTCGGAAGGTATGTCAATCATATTACGTTATGAACTGGTCTCTTTGTAATCCATTTTCGATACTAATTGAGCTCACAGATACTAACTTTAAGTAACTTTTTTGTGTTTTTTTTTTCTTGTAATTTTTGCATTATTGTTATGGTTGTGTTATTTTTATGTTTTCTTTTTCGGTGATTTTAATTTTTAAATTGTTATCTTTTTTGTTTGTTTGTGTGTTTTGTACATGTACAGGTGTAACACCGGCTGATAATGTTTTATTTTCAAAACACTATGCTCAAAACATTTGAGATATTAACTTAAGCTTATGTTTTCTTTGAATAACATGATTTAGTGGGTTTAGAAAGTCAGAAATATATTAAAATGATGATAAAATGGCTGCTTGTGTCTACAACTAATAATATTATATGTACACTGGAAAATTTTATAAAGAAAACAATTTTATAAAGAAAACTTGAAAAGAAAGAAAAATGAAACATTTTGTATTTATTTTTATTAATCGCATAGATGAGATTCCCACCAAAGATACTGAACAAGATCTCAGTATACCAACCTCTAGTCCTTCCAAGACTGGTGTTGCATACATCACAGAGACTCTGATCAAAAAGTTGACTCGTGAAGAAACCTTAGGGAACATTACAGCTCTCTATTTGGTGCTTGGGAAAGATTTGAATAAGAAATTTAAGGTATTCAATATTGCTTCAAAGATGTTTGACATGCATGGCTTTTGTTTTATAAACTTAAGTAGGAATTAATTAATTTTAAACTACGTTCTTTCAGTATATGGAAAATCTTGAAAACTTACCCAAGCTTCAAGTTCTTCACATCAGCAACCATGCCATTGCAAAGATTGAGAAACTAGATAAGTTGACCCAGTTAAGAGAACTTAACCTTGCCAAAAACAGCATCTCCAAAATTGAGGGATTGGAAAGTCTCACAAGACTCCAGAAGTTAAATCTCAGTGGAAACCAAATCACACATTTGCCAGGTGGTTTGATGAGGAAGTTGAAAGAGCTACAAGTGTTTTACATTGATCATAATAACATTGAAAGTGTAAGTATCATTGAAAAATGATTTTAAATTAATATTACATGTGCATGTATCCTACAGTACATTAAACTGTAAGTTTGACACTCCTTTTTTATACCCCTTTGAAACACTTGAGAATCCTAGTATGTTGCCTTATAAAGATTGATTGTAATTTTGTAAAAATTAAATTTCAGTTAATTGAAGTCACCAAACTTAGACCATTACAAGATTTGACTGATGTTTCCACTRAGGGAAATCCTATGAGCGAACTCGCCCACAGCCGTCAGTTTATAATATTTCAGCTGCGTTCATTAGTTGTCCTGGATGGTAAAGAGATTGTTCCTGATGAAAGAGTTGTTGCCGATGACAGATTTGGACAAGGTAAAAGCAATAGCCCACTTCGCAGATAACACAGCTATTAGAAATTGAGCAAATAACGAAAAACAATTACCACCACTGGAAAGAACAGTTTAAAATTAGTATGTTTACCAGGTTTGAGCATGATTCAATGAAAATTCAAGGAGATACAGCAGTTTAAAAGTCAAAAATTCACATGAGAAATGTATGGGCTGTCGGCATGAGATCGAGGTTGACCTTGACTTATTACAACCTCACCAAACATTTCTAAGCAAAATTTAGTGTTTTTGAAAGTGCCGTATCTCTTTGAATTTCAATCAGATTATTTTCAAACTTGGCAAATTTGCTGATTTTATGATGCTCTTTCCAGTGATGTCAATGATTTGCCATAATGACGTAATGTAAAATTTCGAATTATCCATGAAATGGTGTATTGGTGGTAATRTTATATTCCTCCTTGGGCTTCCTGTGTAATGGATTTAATGGTGCAGGAAAGCCAAGAACAGAAACAAATACAATTACCATTGCTTCTAGATGAGATAAGAAGACTTGAAGCTGAGCTTCTCAGGCAAGAAAACCTCTATGATACATTGTTTGAAGAGAAACGTGCTGCTGTGACCGAACTAGAGACACTAAGAAGACTGAGCTCACAGCAGAAAGAAAGCAATAATCAACAAGTTGACAAAATAAAGAAACTTGAAAGGGAATTGAACTCCAAAGAAGAAATTGTGAGTTACAGCTACCCTCTTTCTTGTTATTATTGTGWTAAAAAGCATGCAGTTAGTATTTACTGTTSTCAATGTTTTCAACAGCTTGCCAGTAAGACAGCAGAGCTATCCAAAGCCTGYGAAAAACAGTACAAACTGGAGCAGGAATTGGCTTTCTAYAAACTRGATGCCAAATTTGATCATCTGGGGAAAATACCTTGGCCTGAGGGAGAAGAGGTATGGTTTAACAAATGAAAAAAARGKTTTAATAATACTATGGACTAAYGATTACAATGTTGTTGATAAAKWTGATATTGATGACAAATGGTTCCATTTAATGCCAGTTTTGATAATMAAAAAWTTCTWTTCTKTAGTTTATGGAAGAAGAAGACGATGAAGCACCATACATTGGCAAGGCAGGATTCAAACCSAACAAGTTTGCTCATGATTCTCGTGTTCTTAGCCCAGAGCAGAGAGCAGAGCTCTCCGATCTGAAGGGACGTTTGAGTGATCGATATGATGGTCAAAACAAGAAGGCCCAGAATGAAATCCATGAAGCTTTGATGYTGGACCTTGAGCAGAAACAAGCTGCTGTACTGGAAGGTCTGGTTTACGTTATCTCTGATATCTTTGATACTTAAGTTTTGGCTACCTTTGCTTTACTTCAACATTACAACTTCRTCTTCATAAATATATTCACAACCATACTGCTATATCTATGCAATGAGCATCCAGCTACACAGCTACCTACCTGACATGATTAAAACAATGCTAGATAACACAATGACTAACTCTACTTAACACCTCTGTACACATATAGTCTATAAATCGACCAAACCAACTCTACATCACAACCATATCATCACAGTGAACAAACATTCTACAGAAGCASAGGAAAAACTCCTCTGAACAAACCACCTCTGCAGATCGACAAACCTCTACATTACAACCTTGTATACTCAACGACCATATGGACAACGACAATCTCAATTAAAACTCGTTGTTGCTAACAGAACTCATATATGTTTATTTATATATTTTTTTTATCTTGTTAAATAGCTGAAGGTCAACTTGCCAAACTAGAGAAACAGTTGAAGAAACGACTGGAAGAACTTCGTGCTGCTAACGATGAACTGGCTCTTATACAACAAGCTATAGAGGAAGAGGTAAGTGTCATAGTCTCSCACCTTGTCTKCTCTCGGTCTTTTTAACGGCGCGAGGTGCATGAGGGAAGTGYGAAAAATAATCGCAAAGCCYTTTTCCTWCCCATCAACCCTTTCAATCTTAGYAAAATAGGAGTTAAGTCAGGGTGCACACTGTATTGTTCACAATATGCAAGTTTGTATGTCAAAAATGCATCGACCACCAGTGACATGATTATTTTTTCTTTTCTTTTCTATTATTTAGTAATCCGTATTTTTTGTAGATCAAGCTTTTGGATAACGAAGATAAGAGACTTCTTCAGGCTATTGCAGATAAAAACAAATATGTAAGATRTGGTATTAATTATAATGGGGGCATKTYAAACGTGTCTTGATATGTAGTTGAACGATTGCGCATGCTCTAACGCGATTCCCGATGATCCCACATGGCTTAGTGACTCATATTTCGCAGTGAWTATAGTRATGTWGGTGGTTGTAAATATGATTCTGTTGATGCTGATGATTATACTGACTAAGATAATAGCTCTGGTATTAAAGCGTGCTAATTATGATCTTGATGATGATGATGATGACTGATGGTCCTTGTCTTATCACTGAAACAAACTTCTCCGTCAGCCAACGACCATGGTATAAGATATGAATATGACCATGGTATAAGATTCTGAGCAGCAATGTTGATGTGTTTTTTTTCATTTGGTTCAGATTCGTCAACTTCAAGATGCAGCGGCAGATTTAGAGCGACGAATGAATATGATCCACGACGATCTTCGACGAAGAGAAGAAGAGTTGAACCAACAAAATAACGCTCTAAATGCAATGARTCCTGGTGATCCTGGCTTTGTAAGTCTTTTCAGAGTCAAAGATACGAGTCAATTGTTATTACTACGTGTACAGACTATGAAACATTTTTATCAGTTTTCGTCCTTTGATTTCACTATTTCAGTCACTTGTTTATAAATCCACTCTTTCTTTTATAGGACCAGTTAAAACTAAGACTAGCGGAAACACAAGATCAACTGCGTCGCGCKCTCAAAGAGTATGACAACCTGAAGAGAGAGCACGAAGCGACACTYAAACAAATGCAAGCAGAAATGGCRGAACTGCAAAGACTTCAGGATGAGCTTGTTGCTAAAAGTATAATTTTTTTTCAATGCGTGAGACTTATTTAAGAAGCTTTAACTCATTTTCTGGTATTATTCAGGAAAAGAGATGGGRAATCAGGGCCAACTGAAAGCTGAACTTAACGACATTATCAACGAACTCAACAACCATTTRGATTCTTTGAAGCAAAAGGTTGATCAACAAGCTAAAAAGATTGCAGAATTACAACGAGAAAAGGAAGGACTCGTAAAGCAGCTCAAACAGCAACAAGAATATGTGGATGGGAACGCTGAGCTAAAGAAAAACATAGGAAAACTACAGCAACAACTGAAGGGTTTGTGAATATAATTGTAAAGTCATATGATGTTTCTTGATGGTTATCCTTGATTGTTTTGCGGTGTTTATTTGAATTGGAGTCTAATCGTAGTTCTTATATTTAGCGACGCAAGATGCTCTTGCTCAAGAACGAGCCGCAGCCGAATCACTGCGACGCCGATTATCAGATCTTGAAGGGCAAGTTGCTAAGGGAAACGCTTTGGAACCTCTCCTTGCTGACACCAAAGCGAGACTGAAAGATGCAGAAACTGAAGTGGAGAACCTAAGAAAAGCATTGGACAATCTGAAGCAACAGATGAAGGTAAATTATCTTGTAATCCTTGTCGTATCTTTTACAATGGTATCGAAATCAAGCGCGAATATTCTATATATTTTGCTCTCGGTGAAAAAAATTAAAATGAAAGAAAACTAAAACACCACCACCACCACCACCAAAAAACACAAAAGTGCTCAAGTCCAAGCGGGTATGGTAAACAAAAGTCTTTTCTGATGATAAAGAAATATTATGTTATCATTTTGAGGCTGACCGTCAAGCCGCAGATGAAAGAATCCGAAGAGAACAAGAGAAAGTTGAAAGAGCATTACAAGCTGCAAAAGGGGCGCACGAGAAAGAAAAAGAAAGCAAAGATTTAGGAATACAAGTAGACTCACTAAAGGTCAGTACTTCATGTCTCATCCAACTGATACTCACCATCTCACTCAGCCGCGCTTGGTCTGGGCACCAGATCAAAAACTTTCAAGCGTTCATAACTTCGACTTTATGGGGAGCAAGGATGGCCGAGCGGTTAAAACGTCGGTCTATCACCGCTGTGGTCCTGGTTCGATTCCCGGTCCGGGACTATATGTGATTTGAGTTTGTA